TAAACCGATTTTAAAAACTCACCAATGGAATGCTATATTATCAGGGAGTAACATAGGCTACTTTTTTACCGCAATAAATAATATATAACATATAAATTGACCGTGTGGTGACGGATTAAGAATATTGAGCCGCCCCTATTCATCCAAAGGGTGTCGTAAGAGTCCGTTAGAAAGGAGGTTTTCACATCCAGATTCAGAACGACAATAAGTGGATCACAAGTGTAGTCCCATGTGGGGATCGAACCCACAACTCTCTGTGTAGAGGCGACCGCTAGGAAGCGGCGTGGCGACCGCTTAAACCACTACGCCATCCGTGCAGCTATCTCTACATGTATTGGGTACCTACTGACTGACTGACTTTTTCAACGTCCTTATTAAATTTCCAATAACACAAATACCTACTGACTAATAACCCATTATCGTATCAAGTTACCCTCACCGTGTCCTAACGGTACGGCCGCCGTCACCTCGGTCGTCGGTTCAGTTCCCGGTTGGGTGGCCCTGTCTGATTAATTGTCACTGATCCTTAGATAAAGATTGCTACTCAAATATACTGAACTTGACATTGATAGGTGGCTGAATGTTGCACAAAGAGTAGTCAGAGATTGCGTGCGCTTTTGTGGATATTATCGGAAGCCTCTGTGAGGAAATGTTAACGAAATAAGACAAACTTTAAATGGATTTTTAGTTTTTATTTAGTTTATAGTGGTTTGTGATCCTAACAGATTTAGTTAGGTCATGAGTTAGATTCCTATCCAGAACGAATAATTGTGTTTATTCTGGGTCAATGTGATGTTTATTTGTATTTATTAAAATAAAAGTATGTTAATCAGCAGTCAGGGTCTAGTCTGTTCTGTATCATCATCAGCCTATCGCAGTCCAATGTTGGACATAGCATCTCCCATTGCACGCCACTTAGATCAATTTTGGGCTTCTCGCATCCAGGTCCTGCCAGCCATCTTGCGCAAATCGTCACTCCACCTGACCTGTGGGCGTCCTACACTACGTTTGCCGAGACGCGGTCTCCACTCAAGAACTCGTTTACCCAACGGTTGTCGGTTCTGCGGCTAATATGGCCAGCCCACTGCCACTTCAGCTTGCTGTTCTTTGTTACCATAAAAAAATAAAAGACGGTAGTAGATCATCAGGAATATTTCTAGAAGTTAGAGATTGGCGTGCGGTTATTTAGGCAACAAAGAAAATTTGTTATTTACGTTGTAAAGTCATAAAGTAGTAAAATCTGTAACAACAAAATTTAGTCTCATTTTCTAGTACTTTAGTAAAATGCAGTAATGAATAAAAGGAAATCTTAACGATTTTAATACATAAAGTAAAAGCGAAATATTTTTTAAGTAGCTTTATAATCTATGGTCGCCGTATCAGTATAATGTCTCGTTTTCGTTATCTCACTATCAGTGCAAAGTAGAAAGTCAAAAGTGTCATTTACACTGTACGATTAAACTAATAATAATAATAAACCAAACTAATAACTCATTTTCTCATCATTTTCTTCATCATTATATTTTTAATACTGAGCGTTGGAATATTTTCGTGAAATTTAATTGAAATCGCTCGTAATTAAATATATAATACTTCTTGAAATCGGATCAAATAAGTCTAAAAAGGCGAAAATATCGCAAAACACACTTACCAAAAAAAACTTCGAATATTTATATTTAACCACGTCATATTTCAATTCTACTGAAGATCAAGTTTTAGAGATATAGATAGATAGATAGATAAATAGTATAAATACTATATTTGTACAGAAGGGTTTCACAGACATTATAAAGTAATTAACAACAGATGTAGTGTACAAAGGGCGGCCTTTTAACTCCAAAAGTTCATTGGAACTAAGGTTCACCTCCACTCAATTTTCGTGATTATAATTTCTATGTTAATTTCCTTATGGTTTAAAAAAAAATATTATTAAAAGGAATAAAATGTTGTTTATTCTGGTGGTTTTTAAATTAACAAGACCAGGCGTTCAAACCATTAAGTCACATTTCGCCTCCTCCGTACATACCGTAAAAAAAGATTATTACACATAACATACATGCGCATTCAACATACATATTTTGGAAGAAAGTGTTCCGATCCGACAACGACACGACACGATATATCGTGCACACTAAAGTGACAATAAACTAGTTTGTATTTAGTGGCCCGTGCGCTGTACAGCTACGATTATTGACATTGCTTAATAAAGCGAACTAAACAAGCGCTTAATGCGTCTAGCGATGAAAATATACACCTCAAGAGTTGCCGCTGGTAGGCGGATTGGATTTGGATGTGTTTTATTTGGAACGAAGTTCCTAATCGCGCGATACACGCGATGGGAGCGAAACCGAAACAAATGTAACAAGACTTTTTTCCGACACTTTAAGTTTAAAGCAGACTGTATAGAACGTCTATCAAAAAGCGAAAGGAACTTCATTCTGACTCGGGGTTTATAGACCTCTTACGCCGTTTTTTATGATGTAGGGGGCAAACTAGTAGACTGGTCACCTGATGGTAAGTGACTGCCGTCGCCCATGAACGTCTGCAACTCATTAGTCACAAGCGCGTTGCCTGCCTTTGAGGAAAGAGTATAGTCTTTTCTTGAAGGTTTGAAAGTCGTACCAGTCGATCGGGAACTTTGGAAATTTAAGATGTGAAAAATGGGAGTATATCGATACTTATGTTAGAAGAAAAGACAGTTGAAGTAAAAACCGAATCTTTTATCATTCATCATCATCATCATCATCAATAGCCTATACTAGTCCACTGCTGGACATAGGCCTCTCCTTAGAAAGGAGGTTTTGGCCTAGTATACCACGCTGGCCAGACGGGTTGGTATAGGGTTTGTTTCAAGTTGTCCTTATCTTTGCAGTGCTGTTGTCCTGCGTAGTTTGCTCCCTCAGTCGGCTCTTACGACACCCACGGGATGAATTGGGGTGGTGACAATTTGTATTCTTAATCCGTCACCACACGGACTTATCATTATTGATCACAAATTAGTTGTAGCAAGCTAAAATATCTATCTCCTATTGTTATAAATTTCATTAACAACGGAAATAATATAATATTTTTGGACGTCTCTCATACAACGCCATCTTGAGCTTGTACTATGAAAGCTAGATTGACTAATAGAATACATATATAACTAATTTTTTTCTTAAATACATACATACATATTACAAGTAGAAAACACCCAAACTCTGAAACAAATATTTGCAAATCACACAGACATTTGGTCCGACCCGGCAATTGAACTCGAGACCGCATACGCTGCCACTGCACCAATGAGGCAGGCATTCTTTGTGAAAGTGTGAACACGCCCACACACGTACACACAACATGTAATAAAGGTTGTGTACAAATATTTGCGCAAGCGCTTCGACGAGGTTGATGTACTGTCAACCGTCAAGTGTGACAGTTCCTACTAATATTAGTAGAATTGGTGCAATAAATGTATTGTTAATAATAGGAAAGAATTCCTTAGAGTCACATCAAGAGCCTTTAATAGTCCACTTCAGGACATAGCCCCTCCTTAGAGGAGGAGGAGGTTTATTTTTTTTCTATTACTTAGAGTGGAGAGAATAAATTTTTGTAACACCTGTGTGCCAGTGTGAATATTAATATATCTTTATAGCAAACAGGGAGGGGCTCAGAAGGGGTACCCGATGGTAAGTGACTACCAACGCCCAAGGACACGTGCAACTTATGAGTCACAGATGCGTTGCCGCCCTTTGAGTCGCCTACCGCCGCCCTTTGAGCCGGAGTTTGTTTCTTTTTTGTTAGCTTGGCCGTGTGGTGACGGATTAAGAATACAGAGTGTCACCACCCCTATTCATCCCGTGGGTGTCGTAAAAGGCGACTAAGGGAGCAAACTACGCAGGACAACAGCACTGCAGAGAGAAGGAAAACTTGACACAAACCCTATACCAACCCGTCTGGCCAGCGTGGTGTAGTAGGCCAAAACCTCCTTTCTAAGGAGAGGCCTATGTCCAGCAGTGGACTAGTAAAGGCTGTCGATGATCGATGATGATGATGGCAAGATGGCGCTGTACTACATAAAAATAAACCTCCACTCAATACAGTTGTAACAAACATACCAACACGTACACATTCACAAACACTCGCATTCGTAATACTACTACATGATTCGTTTTTGCATAAACATTCAATTAGAAATCCTTAAAAACTTAAAAATCAGTACGTATTTGTATTTAAGCTCTTACAAACAAAGATAAAATTAAATAAATTTACAAAAAAATGATATGCAGCGTACAATATTTGTATTAGATGAAAATACTTTTTAAATGTTCATGTTGTTATAGAATATGGTTTTAAAAGAATGGATGATACGAAATGAAGAGATTTATTATATATATATATATATATATATATGCTTCGCGAAAAAGACTAAGATTCGTAGTCCTAGTAGTGTATGCAGGAATAGGACTATAATAATTAAATCTTAGACAGATAATTCTAAATGTCAAAGTGAAATCGAGTATTGCGATTCAAAAAGCTCAGAAAACCCTAATGCTGCTGACCCAAGGAAAGAAAAACAACTGTTTACCATATTTAAACTGAATCATCCAGGCTGTTTATAACACAACTGTAACTGTCCTCGGTTTTCAGAAGAACATCGAAGCTACCTCTGCCAGAAGAATATAACAACCGTATTTTACCATTAAAACCTTTTGCGAAAATACGATTCAAACAAAGCAATTGCTATACAGACTAAAGATACGAGTACGTAAGAAACAAAGTAACTACAAATTTTATAACAGCGATATAATATATGCCTGCGTCATAAATACTACATAATTCTACAGAAAGCAAACATGAAAAATTCGTAATCAGTAAGAGCAATGAAAATAATTTAATTACTACATTATAATAAAAATAGCTTCATAAATCATCATGTCAGACATATCTCAACGAGACTAAGCTCTCATAAAACAAAGATAAGATAAAAACATGAGCTAGTATTCAGTCACAGTACAATCATGGACAACTTCGGGTACCGCGAGATGGGTTGGGGTTCGCCTGTTCACACTCCGGTTCAGACACCGACACGATCTCGTTTATCTAGCAGTACAAGATCAAGAACTAAGGAACCTGAAGAATTGCCACTGGCTTACAAATATGTCCGAAATATCGATCTTTTGGAGTCTGCTAAAGAGCCGGAAAAACCAAAGGAGTATCTATTTGTGGGACCCTCTCCACCAGCTGAAGATCCACCAAATATGTACCACAGCTTCGATATTATGGCACCAGATCCGGAAGCCATCTTGACCGAAGAGGCGCTCAGACGTAGTCTTCGTGAACGGGCTTTAGTGCTAGGAGCAGCCAGGTTTTTTGATGACGTTGAGTGTGGCATTATAACTTTAGAAAATATTGAAGAACACCTCAAGTCAGCACCGGAAGTGGTTGTGAATTTAACTTTACTATGGGCTGCTTTTCTAGGAAGAGATGAATTATTGTCTGCTATTTTGCTGGCTGGTGCCGATATTCACTATTACGAGGCACCTGGATTAACAGCGTTACATTTGGCATCCTTCAATGGTGCAGGTAGGGCTGTAGGGTTTTTAATATCTCGAGGTGCAGATATAGACTTTGCTCCTAAATACTTTACACCTCTTCACGCCGCTGCATTTGGCAATTCTTTAGAAACATCAGAGATTTTAATACTTAGTGGGTCTTCGTTACATGCTGTCGTCCAGAGAGCGGGTTGTGAAGATAACCTGGTGCATTGTGCAGTGAGAGCTGATGCTGTAGAGTGTATGGAACTTTTCATAGAAAGAGGAGTAGATCCTGCTTATACTACTTCATCAGGGCTGAATGCGTTGCACCTTGCCGCTGAACTAGGCTCACAAAGGTGCCTCTCATATTTACTTAAAGAAACAAAGATAAGTGTAAATAGTCTGACCAAACAAAGAGATAAGGAATGTACTGCATTACATTTAGCAGCAGCTCGAGGTTACACAGAATGTTTGGAATTACTTTTATCAGAAGGTGCTAAAGTAAACACAAAAAATTATAGAGGATTTACAGCATTACACCTTGCTGCGAGATTTTCAAGCATCGAAAGCGTGGAAGTACTCCTCAGGGATGGCAATGCTGATCCAAACGTGGAAGATTATGATAAGAGGACAGCATTGCATGCAGCTATTAATCGATCTGAGAGAGCGTGTGACGTAATTGATCTTCTTGTCACTTGGGGTGCACAAGTCAATAAAAAAGACGAATATGGTTACTCACCGCTCCACCTAGCAGCAACCGATGGTTTGAATCAATGTGTCGAGACTTTAATTTTTCTTGGTGCCGATGTTACTTCTAAATCAAAAAAAGGACACACAGCCTTGAGTGTTATAGCAAGAAAGATGCCTAAATCGTTAGCTATTGTAAATCACTATTTGGACTCAGGTATATGTTTTAATCAGACATCAGATAGCAGTGAGGAGGTGCAAATAGAGTTCGATTTTGGCAGGCTTCTAAAATTTTCTTATCCCCGTGAAATTACTTATTTGAATAGTTTGATAGATGAAGGACAAAAAGATATATTACTTCATCCTCTTTGTTTAGCTTTTCTGTTTATGAAATGGAAAAAGATAAGAAAATTTTATTTGGCCAGGCTTATATTTTCTTTCCTGTTTGTTTCATTTTTATCAATTTATGTCTTAACCACCGTAGTAAAAACATGTAAGGGTACATATAATAAGAAATATGGAGTTCTTAATGAGCTTTGTCAAACTCAATCGTATTTAGGAATGATGCTGGAGAAAAATCCTATTGAATTCGAAAGATGGGTTCTTTTAGCGATAACAGCTTTTGAAATTCTTAGAAAACTAACAAGTATAACTGGTTTCTCGAGTTTTTATCATTATTTTACTAGTTTCGAAAATCTGATGGAGTGGTTCGTATTATTGTCAGTATTTTCCTTGTATCATATTGACAAGAACTACAGCTGGCAAAATCATGTTGGGGGATATGCTGTGCTAGGCGCTTGGACCAACCTTATGTTGATGATGGGCCAGTTGCCTATGTTTGGTGACTATGTTGCAATGTACCAAAAGGTGTCATCCGAATTTTTAAAATTATTATTTGCTTATATGTGCTTATTACTCGGTTTTACAATTTGCTTTTGTATAGTTTTTCCCAATGAAGAGATGTTTGCGAATCCTCTTGTGGGTTTTATCACTACGCTGTCTATGATGGTTGGTGAGCTAAATCTAAATATTTTGATCAATGATCCAGAAGAGGTTGATCCTCCTTTAGTTTTAGAGGTGTCGTCACAAATTATATTTATTTTGTTTCTTATGTTTGTGACCATCATTTTGATGAACTTGCTTGTTGGTATCGCCGTTCATGATATTCAAGGCTTGCGAAAAACTGCTGGATTGTCAAAGTTGGTAAGACAAACCAAGCTTATTTTGTTCGTAGAAATGGGTCTGTTTAGCGCTTGGCTTCCGGATTGTTTGCACAAATACGTATATAGAACAGCGCTTGTTTCACCCGAGGCTGGTAAGGTAATTTTAAGTGTTAAACCACTAAATCCTCGAGAAAGAAGATTACCAACTGACATAATGATGGCTGCATATGAAATGGCACAATTAAACAAAGTAAAATCTGGTCGTTCTGTGAAAGAAGTTTTACATAAAAATAATTACATATCAAAATTGAAAAATAACGAACATAACTTTGGTTTAGAAATAAGAGGGATGCAGGAGAAAATAGATCAAGCTACTTTCAATCTGAAGAAGATAGATCAAGAGATGCGTCATTTAAATTCATTGTTGATAAATCAGCAGAACCTTCTAAGCAATGTCTTCAAATATATTGATGTAATGCCCTACAAATCCACACATGTCGCCACACCAGTTTATGCTATAGAATCACCTGTATTTCAACCTGCAAATGTATCTGATATTACCAAGTAATTCAAGAGGATGAACTGAGTGAATTCAAACGAAATATGAACTGTTCTGGAAATAAGACTCTATTATTGATTTTGTCTGTTATTATATTACTTTAAATAGAAATATAAGACGAACATATAAGAAATTACTGTAATCGCATAAGTTGAAATATTTTTTTATAGCTCACAGCAATGTAAACAAAATTTTATATGGCTTTGTTCCTAAAGATAAATTTACAGCTGAATTAAAGAATTAAAATATTTCTGTGATTATACTTTGTTATAAAATATACTTGAATAATGTCGTACAAAGCAATTCGATTCATAAACTGGTCAAATTATTAAGTCAATTAACTATGTAAAATTATCTGTATTCGTATTGAGTATGCACTATTTACGTAGTTGCTGTAACAAAAAGAGTCCTATCATGATAATGGGTAGGTGTTTTTCTAAGGAGATTAATTTGACAGTTTAACGTCAAAACTTTACTTGTGGCATACCACGGTCCAACTCTTGAAATTTCAAATGTATTAGATTTCGGATAGTTGTAAGAAAATGAAAGTAAAGTGATAATTAAAATGCCACAATATTCTTCTTTGTCTTTGGTATTCAGTCTTGTTGACATAACCTACCGTTTGCATAGAAAATACAGATTAATTGCGTCATGAACGACGTAAAAGATAACTCTTTCTTATTTTGTGAATTTAAATTCTTCCTAGGCCATAATTTCGGTGGCATCTGGTATGTCAAGGTTAATTTTATCATGATTAATTATACTGTCGAGATTAATGCATCGAGATGATACTTCTTGCCCCTTTATTATGCATATTTTATTCAAGATTATGAAAATCATTTTTAAATACGTATTTCTACTAACCTTTAAAATTTACGACAGCATAATAATGTGTATAATTGTGAAAAGTGAATTTGTAAATTTCAAATTAGACTGACTGGTAAATATGAAAAACCAAATAGTAGTTTCGAATTCATATACAAGGGATATACAATAGACAGACAATTAAACTTTGATAATTGTTATATTTCTGGATTACGATTGACTTTTAAAACAGTGTTACCGACTTCAATGTGTCTAAAGCATGATAAAGTTTAAAAAACTATATTGTTTATATTAACTTTTCTACACGTAAAGATAGAAAGAATATTTATTTCAAACTAGCTGACCCTGCAAACGTTGTTTTGCCATTTACATTTTTTTTTTAATTTTTTTTATTGAATTTCTTAAAATCCGTTCTTAGCTGACCTCTACTCGATGAAAAGAATATTCCTACCAAAATTTCGTCTTTAGCTCTAATGGTTCCAGAGATATCGTGATGAGTGACTATATGCGTGGAAATCTCTTATACATATATAGATTGATATGTTATATTCTTTGAGTACAACAAAATCATTTAAAAAAAGTAATGATTGAAATCACATAAGGTGAAAAAAAACATTATAAAAACCCTGTTGAATTATATCCATGTGGCTACCGTGGAATGACTATTTTAAGAGATGGGATGATAACTATATTTAAATGAAACTTAGACTAGAGATGTGTCTCCTTTAGTAAAGGGATCTTTTTGTTTGCAAGACGATATGAAGAAAAGGGTACTCAATACACGGTTGACTGAATTATAAGAAAGCATAATTAGCCACATTTCTTGCTATGAGAATAGATAAAATTATACACCTGTTTTTATTACATGTTTTGTGTATTTTTATAACAATTTTTTTATAGTTTATTTGTTCTACTTCACGTTATGTGAGACAAAATAATACCATGTTATTGTTTTTGTCCTTTTGACTCCAAAAGAGTCGTATTTCGACTCTTTTGCAGTCAGTCAGTCATAAAAGTAGTTTATATGTTTTTTTTTTAATTATGTCAAACAAATGGTATCAACTTATCGCAGATTATCTCTGAAATAACACGTGAAGAGAGTTTAAAGAGAATATCATCACGAGAACATAGAATGATATCACGTTTCGTACACGCATTTTATAAACAAAAATACGTAAAGACAATGTGTGCGTAATAATATTTGCTATTTAAATTATGTTAGAATGGCTTTACAAAGCTCCATTGCTTTTTACAGCCATTCTTACATAATTTTATATGACAGACAGAACATATACTGGATCCATAGGAATCCAGCATATTGAAAAGCTATGGTTTTTAATGATAAATGACCCAAAGGAGCTGTTTAGTCACCGGATGGTAAGTGTCTACAGCTGTCAATGGACACCAACCAACTCAAGAGACACAAGTGCTTTGCTCCCATTTAAGCGTATCCCCCCAGCATTAAAAGATTTGTGGGACACCACTTATTTTGGACGCCGTGGTGTCACCCCGGTCGAGCCCGCCCATGCACCTGGAGCATGGCTCTCTACGCTAAAGTCTGTTTGTCATATTAAAAAAACAGTAATGTTACAACACAACAAAACAAGACATTCAAAACAACTAATGTTTGATGTTATTTTAGCTCTGTAAAGCTGAATAAACAAATATATTTTTACATGTAAGTTACTAATTTTATATCTACGTAATTATAAAATCTCAGAACATGTTTTTGGTAAACATTATGTCAGAAACTTGCTGATAAGAGCTAATATTCTGTAAACGTAGCAGAATAATGTTCATATCATAAGTTGGTAAATAATTTACTCACATCCATTTAATAAATATGTGGCAGTACGTAATACTTTGTTTCATTTGACCCTCTGCAGTGTTTAACCAATAGATGTCGCTGTTGTGTTTAAAGTATGGACTGTATTATATGATTTAGGAAGTAAAGGATTTATTTATTTTACCTTATACCCAATATGCACAGAGGCGGTCTTAATGCTTAAAGCGTTTTCAACCTGTCTACCTTTCTTTTCCTGTGCGGAAATCTCCGTGTGCCAGTAGCCGGGGAACCACGTGTACCCTAGGAAGGAAATCCCTGGTACTCCAACGTACCTCGGGCCATCCACGGCGTGTAGATGACCCCCTCCTGCATGGGAACTCCCATGTTCCCTTTGTGCTTCCAAAAGGGCGCCTGCAGTATTATTCTCGAATTTCGAATTTGTTATTCTGTATAGTTTTTAAAACTACACTAGCGCTCAAGGCTGTGACGGATATGAGTAGAACTACTCGGCGGTGTGCTAATTGACATTAGTCCATACAATTTGACAATAATTGGTATTCTGTAAGAAAAAACACCGCCGAGGTCGCTTACAGCCTCGCCCACAGCGTTTTTAGCTGTCAAATACAAAAGCCCTAATATAATATATGCAGGAAGGCTGTTCGAGTCACTGAATAAAATAAATGTGATAGTTTCGTGTGGTAATGATTGTCTGTTCCTTTAATATTGTAAGGTATCATTATTATTATAAATAAGCCACATTCAATTATTAGCATATTTTTTTAATTATGTTTAAATGTGCTTTGAAATTAGTAAAGGTTATAAGATTAATAATTTAGTGAGTAATATGTAACTCTGTTGTAAATATTACAAAAGTGGATTTTAATTATAGAGATCTAATAGCTTAGGTACTGGAACAGTTTTACCTGCGTTCATTGCTACTGCCCCAGTCCCGTGGCTTTTAGCGTGATAATATACGCCCAAATTTTACTTTGATGTATCAGCTATGATAAAATATAATAAAAAAATACTTCATACGTCTCACACACGGCAGTCTGATCCCCAACTCGGGGGCGCCTGTCCTATAACAACTAGTCTTCTGATAAATACTTAAGTATTTCGAAATATATACCTAGATATATATTTTAGATAAATTAAATCCAGACACATGATTGTTTTCATTGCATAATTATTTGTCCTGGGCAGGAATCGAGCTCACAACCTCCGGTTTGGCAGTCAGGGTCATACCTCTAGACCAACAGACCAACTATGTTACTGCAAACTTCATCAAACTCCGTTAAGTAGTTTTTGTGTAACGAGTGTTTAAGTAACGAACTTTCGCAAATATATAGTAGTACTAGCTGATCCGGCAAACGTTGTATTGCAACAAAAAAAAAATTAGGGATGGGTCACCCTTACCATTCAAAATTGTGAATCTAAACCTATCCCAGATCCCCTTGAACACACACAAAAAATTTCATCAAAATCGGTCCAGTCGCTTGAGAGAAGTTCAGTGACATACACACTCACAGAAGAATTATATATATAAAGATATAGTATAATCCGTGTGGTGACGGATTAAGAATACAAATTGTCACCACCCCAATTCATCCCGTGGGTGTCGTAAGAGCCGACTAAGGGAGCAAACTAAGCAGGACAACAGCACTACAAAGAGAAGGAAAACTTGAAACAAACCCTATACCAACCCGTCTGGCCAGCGTGGATTAGTAGGCCAAAACCTCCTTTCTAAGGAGAGGCCTATGTCCAGCAGTGGACTAGTATAGGCTGTTGATGATGATGATATAGTATAATATAATACAACAGGTCTAAATAAATAATTTATCTTCAGATTTTAGTGTTTATTTCTTTTTAAAACTTACCCCCAGATCAGCATAGAAACAGGCAAGAAAACTCAGTGAATAATAGACAATTTTACTCAATTTATGTTACATACACAATAATAAACCAAAAAAAAAACTAATAAATTTTACAAAACATAAAACATAGTATCCGTGTGGTGACGGATTAAGAATACGGATTGTCACCACCCCTATTCATTCCGTGGGTGTAGCAGAAGTCGACTAAGGGAGCAATCTACTCAGGAAAACAGCACTGCAAAGAGAAGGAAAACTTGACAAAAACCCCATAGCAACCCGTCTGGCCAGCGTGGTATAGTAGGCTAAAACCTCCTTTCTAAGGAGAGGCCTATATCCAGCAGTGGACTATTAAAGGTTGTTGATGATAATGATGATAATAAAACATAGAATCTAAAAAAAAAATTGATATTTTCTGCCAATTCTTGTCATATCTGAGTCTGTCTCGAAATTGAATTTAAACTTACTTTGAGAGAAGAACTTAATACTTACACTTACCACAAGAAACTACTTACTACTTACTTACAAGAAATTAATACTAACTTTGATTTGTATATGTATACGATACTGAAGTCTGTTTAGTATAACGATAACTAGTCTAAAACAATTTTCTGATAAGAAAGATAAGAACGTAATGTTGTTTTGATTTAGTTTGACTTTGGTTTTTTTGACGTTTTGTTTGTTCACAGACTTATTAAATCGTATATACACTTGGCATAGGAAATTATCATGGTCTTTAAAAAATATGAAAATTGTTAAATTTAATAAACTGATAATAATAAATGAATAATAATAATGCTCTATACTCTTTTAAATACCTAATAATACCAATATCATATTTGTAAAACCCATAAAACCATCTTTAACCCTCAGTCGATTACGATGTTTGATAAGTTGATGTCAAGCTCTAACTCGTCTATAAAACAACGTCGAGTGGGCGGAACCACGAATACTATTTAAAACTGCGTTGTGCAGTCGGTTGATCTCATGGCTTCTCGAAAGTTCACGAAAGTTGTCACTAGAAAATAACACTGCTGCTTCTGCTAGGGTGACAGATGGCCTGACTTGTCACCCCCAGGCCTGCGCTTATGGAGGACGGAGGTCGTTCTTTGACCTCCAGTGCCTGAGTCGTCTGCGGTACCTGGCCCGTTCTCGGGCCTGGCGGGCCGGGAGAGTTCTACTTCTCCCAGTCCTGCTCCGCAATCTCCTGCGCAAGCATAATTTGCTCGCAGAAGGGGAAGACTGCGCTCCAAGCAATCTCGCTCTGTACTATGGCGGCAATCATACTACTGAGTGAGAGGGATCCCACTCTGATGGCCACCACGAAGTCACGCCTCTGCTCCACCCACGCCGGGCATTCTGCCAACGTGTGGAGGACCGTGTCCACGGTCCGGCCACCGCAGTGGTGGCACTCAGGCGTTGGCTCCTTGCGGATCAGACACAGGTGATCTCCGGAACAATCTTTCGGGGTCACCTGAGTCAGCTGGTATGAGAGGGTTCCGTGACGCCTCTCGAGCCAATCCTCCATCAATCCATCTTAAAATATGCTAGCGTAATTAAATTCAATAGCTGTCCATTAGACACGTAGTCAGTTTTCGCTTCATGTCTAGATTTTATAAGTTCCGTTGCCGTTACGTCCAAAGCTCGAATGTTTTTGTGACCCTAACGGTTTAGAGAATACCAAAGAAATGTCTTTTCAGAGGTTTTCATCCTTGCGGCATACTGTAAATACGACAAATAAGTAAATGATATACGTACTTTCACTTGCTTTTGTTTCCATTAAAGTTATTTTACTATCCTACCCTTGAAAATTATGCTTTTTCACTGTATAATTTTCCCGTACCTAATATAATTTGTATGCAAAAATTCACGATGATCGGTTTAGTAGTTCAGATGTTAAAGCATAACAGACAAACATTGATGACATTGTAACAAAATAGTGTCTTACACCATCCGGCATATAATTATGTATATCACTAAAGACCTGATATATCTCTACAACTAATAATTTACTTAGATACACATAAATTTGCAATGAGCTAGAATTAATACCATAACCTCTGACTTTCTAGTCGAATCCTCGACCTCTGAGCTACGCAAGTCTTCTTGGTTACCCACTGAATTAATACTAGCTTGTATAGTTATGTATGTATGTTATGTAGTTGTGTACATGCTGTTTCTTTTTTAACACTGATTAAATTTTGCTAAAGAAAATGAAACCTTAAATAATTCAGACACAAACAAGTTTATGATATAGTATCCCAAAGTAAGTATAGGATATATTAATTCAGTCTCCTGAATTAACTTCTTTGTGTTCAATATTTTACTGATCTAAACATTCATTCAAATTTCAAATCTCAAAATTAGCTAATTGAATTAAATGAGGCGTAAAGAGAAAAAAAATATTTTATTTTTTTCATTTGTTGTGTCTCGTTTCAATTCTTAGCTCAGAAGACCATGTAGGCCAACAACATTCAGGTCGAGAGCGCGGTGATGATTAGTTGCAATAAAAAGTGCAGTTTAATTGACAGTCATCTTTTAACCAGTCAGATTGTTATTTTTTCAATGAAAGAATTCTTCTTGTACAAAAAGTGGTATAATTTCTTCACAATAATAATAATTACCAAAAAATACAAAGAAAGAATATACCCAAAGAGAGCAAACCTACAATAAGAAGCCTAAAAAAATAATATGCACGTGACTGCTGTCATTATATGCAAGAAGACGACTTACAAGTTACGGTATCTTAAAGCCGTACTTCATGTGAGCACGCCCAGTGGCGCCATCCTAAAACCTCTCCACGTGCTACTGTCAGGGTTACGTCAACAAGTGTACGTACATTATAGCACGCATAAAATAACAACCTATGCTCATACAATCTCTTATTTCTATTCCTAATATATTCGCAAATGTCACATCCTTATCTATTATTAATTTATATTTTACCTTACATTCTAATCGTTTTCTTATCAGCTTACGTATTCTGACAACAATTTAAACAGCGTTGTCAACGATCCACTGGCTGTAAGGAGAGACTGCAGTGCTAACTCCTGGGTAAATTTCACTAGCACAACCGCGACCCCATGATACTACACCGACTAAAACATCGCCGTAAGTGAGAGGACCGCCGGAGTCACCCTGACACGCATCACGACCACCTTGCGGGTACATCGCACAGATCATATTTTCGGAGACAAATCCAGAGCCTGCGTAGATTTCTCTGCAGAGTTTATTATTGACTACGTAGATTTCAGTCTCTAGGAGTTCAGGGTTAGTAACGCCTCCTTGCTGTGGAGAATAAAATGAATATATTTGTAAGTCTCTTTATACACTAAGGTAATGTTTTGTATGAGATATCATGGACACTACTTATTTTCAGCTGTGTTAATTTATTAAGTAGAATAAATTATTATTTATACCGTTGTGTTGATCGAGTATTTAAAATGGTCGACCAATAACTATCGTAAATCAACATTTACTCCTTATGAGAAAATCACGGATTATTTGTCAATGCAGGAAAAGTGGCTTTTATGATAACAGTTTTAGTCAGAACAGAATTACTGAACTACTGGTATTAGTCACGACGAGTTAGTGATTGCAAAGAATTCTGAATTTTTGTAAAAAATAATTATTCTTAATCATTTTTTTAAAGAGTCGAGGGGGACTTTACAAACATACATGCAACGGACACAAAAAGACTCAGAACAACAATCCGTGGATCACACAAAGTGTCTTCCCATGTGGGGACCGGACCCACAACACTCAGCGTAGCAGTAAGCGGCGTGGCGACTACGTCGTGGCGTACTACACTACGTCATCCGTGCAGTCTGTGTCACTAATCTGTGATGTTTGATACCGATGATAATTAATTTTAAACTGAACAAATTACGTTGAAGAATGGTATCTTTTAAATTGTCCTAATTATTATAATTTTGATATACGTACCGATGTGGTACCCCAGCCGGCATGTTTGACAGCAGAACCATCGGGAACTTTTGAATCTTGGATGGGTATGGTAGCCTGAGCAACGGAGGAACTGTACACTAACGGAGTTACGAGCTTCACAATGCTGATGTCACCATCAAGTCCTAATCCTTGTCCATAAGAAGGGTGGTTCAGGTACCAATCTACCTGATGGAGTGTACCGCCGATGTTACGGGAGGCACTGCCGGCACGGATCCGACGATTTGTAGGCCTGGTGTTGATAAAATAACAATTTTCACGTTGGTGATTATTCAAACGCATTCAAATACAAACAGTAAGATGTTTTTTTTTTAATTTGTTTTTAAAATAAATAAAAATCTGTTATAAAGGAGTTGAATTAGTCTGTTAGAAAAGTCAATAGTTTCAGCAAAAAACAAAATTGTGATAATTTTCCCTGAATTATTAAAATCCTATTGCACTTGGATTTTTCTTTTCTTTTTGCTAAGGAGAGAAGTGGCTTTATGATTTTTCCAACTCTTCAAATTTACTTCTAATTAATTTCATTGGGAGTTACAAAACAGTTTAATTTTTTCACGCTTTTTATTAGCTTCACCTGTATGTTTGTTTGTAACCGACTGCTTTGGCCGTGATTTTGACTAACTTTAAACGGTCAGAATTCGTTCAAAATTTGTAAATATATCGAGGGCCGACAATACACTAATTTAAAATAAAAAATAGTTTAATAAACTAAAAAAACACGCTTTTTATAGAAAACCAAACTAATAAATATAAAATAAATTTTAAATAAATTTGAAAAAAAAAGCGTTGCGTGTGGTCTATAGTAAAAAGTTCCCTTGTTACTTTCCGTAAGTTCGTCGGTCACTGCCTTTGGTGTACAGAAGTTACAGTAGTGGGCGTGTAGAAAGGATTAGTTTCCTACTATAATGGTCCACCAACCCAAAGAAATGCATCCTAGTAGTTTGTGGCTTGACAGAGCCCCATTGAATTAGGGATTCCATAATTAACTTGTGTTTATACACACCATGTCCGTGTGGTGACGGATTAAGAATACGGAGTGTTACCACCCCTATTCATCCCGTGGGTGTCGTAAGAGACGACTAAGGGAAAAAAATTACGCAGAACACCAGCACTGCAGGGAGAAGGAAAACTTGACACAAACCCTATACCAACCCGTCTGACTAGCGTGGTATAGTAGGCCAAAACCTCCTTGCTAAGGAGAGGCCTATGTCCAGCAGTGGACTATTAAAGGCTGTTGATGTGATGTGATGATGTGAGATACACACCAGAACCAAGGACATTTGAGAAGGATATCTGTTCGTTTGATTTAAAGCTTGAATACACTGATAACTAAGATATATAATTACTTACGAGCCCTCGTAACAATGAGCAGCAGACAAAACGAATTTGGTATTTAGGATGTTAGCAGCACATGATTGGGACCAGAAGCCTGACCATAGACTAAAGGAATCGCTTTGGACAATAAATGGCCACTCTTCTATTGTTGTTTCCCAGCCGCCAACTATGCGATTTGGTGCAGAAGAAGCTAAGCCTGTAAAAATATAATTATAATCGGGATTATAGTAGCATAGGATCTAATATAAGAAGGGATTTTTTTTTTTAATTTTTAATGCTTTTTTAGGGTTCCGTACCTACCTCAAAAGGTAAAAAAGGAATCCTTATAAGATCACTTTCTTGTCCGTCTGTCCGTCTGTCTGTCTGTCCGTCTGTCCGTGTGTCACCACCGATCTCAGGAACGGGTAGACCTATCAAGTTGAAATTTATACCAGATACTAAAGTCTATGGTCCCTATTAGGTGTATAAAAATCAAGGTCCTTAGTCAACACGATTTTCGTGAAAACTTGTAAGTACCCAAAGTTACCTTAATTTTCAACTTTTTTTATTTTTCAGAATTTTCTCTTTACTTGTGCTTGTAAGCAGCTGTAAGAACTTGCTTTTAACCAAAAATGACAATTTCAGGTCTACCGGAAGTACCCTATAGGTTTTGGGTCGAAAACCTATATGGTAGTTCCTGTTGACCTACAATCATGAAATTTGGCAAAAAGAAACGTCTTACAGCACAAATAAAGGAATAATTCCAAAAAGTTAAAAATTAAGATAAATTTTGGTACTTACAAATTTTCGCGAAAATCTACGTAAAATCTGGGTAGGTGGTTTTTTATCCGATGGAGCGGGTAAACAAGCAGACGAGTCACTTAAGGGCCACATGCGAGTTCATTACACTTCTACTTGATGCGGTAACCGTGGCTGGTTACCGCATTTGGCGCTACGATTGGCCCGCACTGAAATATCAACCAATCGCAACACTAAACTTGCGATGTGAAATAAACTTGCACTCGGCCTTCTGATAGTAAGTGCCTACCGCTGCCCATCGACACTTTTAACTCAAGAGATACGGTTAGTCTCCTTAATTTCACTCACTCGGTAAGAATCTTGAGTAGAAAGATTGCTAAGCACCAGTTTTCTGTGGGGCTGGTATATTACTCCGGTTAAGCCAAGTTTGCTGAAGAGTGGACGTTCCATGTTGTACAAAATGGCGTATATTAATTTATTGATCAAAGTTACCAAAAAGAAATACCTGCTAGGAGTGCCAGAGCGAGGACGGTTACAGGAGACATTTTGATAACTGTGTGTTGGAGTGATTTTAACGCACCCTTAATTTATACTAAATGATATAAAACATTGTAAAGATTAAGAAATCTATGTAGGTTTAGTATTTAAATTATCACAGACTATCTACGCGTTAATTGATGATAAAAGATGTATGTCAAGTTGGTAGCTATAAGATAATCTTAAATGATTAATATTTCAAGTTCCCATCACATACGGAAAGGCCAGCAGAATATCGAAGTCATTGTCGGGTCCTGTTTTAATGTCATCAGTAAAACCAGCGTCCGTGCGTTAGTCCGTGTGTCCGTCACCACCCCTATTCATCCCATCATCATATTTGTTGTTGTTTTTAAAAATACATTTTCACGTAGTCGGGGTTTTTTTTTTTTAAAGACATCTCCCGCATTAGGAATATATATCGTGTGTAGCGGGGACTTTACAAACATACATGAAACGGACGCAAAGAACACCCAGACTCAGAACAACAATTTGTGGATCACATAAAGTGGTGTCCCATGTGGGGTTCTAACTCACAACACTCAGCGCAGTAGGCAGCGACGTGGCAAACGCTCAAGACAGTACGCCAATTAGCTTAATTACTTATACACACACTGATTTTTAACAGGGTAGGCAGAGATATGTTATAGGCTCACATTTTCCTATCTATCATTAAATCCTACTTCTTTCTTCTTCAGTAGATCGACCATCAGCGCCCTTTCTAGTCCTAGGACATTTATTCACATTGACGGCCGGACATTTTACGGCTGCATGGCAAGGCCACGGGATCAATTCCCGCTCAAGTCAAACATTTTCAAACAAACATTTTCAAACATTCGACTGCACGGATGGCGTAGTGGTTTAAGCGGTCGCCACGCCGCTTCCTACTACGCCGAGTGTTGTGGGTTCAAACCCCACATGGGACGACACTTTGTATGATACACAAATTGTTGTTCTGAGTCTGGGTGTTCTTTGTGTCCGTTTCATGTATGTTTGTAAAGTCCCCCGCGACACAGGATTTAATCCTAGGCGTTGTCTTTTTAAAAAAATAAATAAATAAAATAAATTTTTGTGTATGAACATTTTTAATGTTTGATTTGGTCTGGGTGTTTCGATGTATAATATGCAAAAACATATGTATTACTCCGAGTAATAATACTCCGAAATCCTGGTGTACAGGGAGGGGTTAGTCAAATACCCTAGGTCCCTTTCTCTATCCGTCTTCTTTACCCAATTTTTTTTTACTTTGTCTACTTTGAAAATAATTTCATCTGGAAGGAAGGTTCATCAATCAGCCAAAACCTTTTTCAATGTTACACATTGTGCGTAAATAAATTGTATAATTCGTATGATTTTTATTTAGAACGACGTGTGCATTATAATTATGTAGGTCATGGATAAAAGCATTAAAATTGAATAATGTTGATAAAATGGTAGACAAAGATGTCTCGCTGTGGATTACTTCCAAAATTCGATAATTTATCTTTTTATTTCTTCTATCAAACATAGTAAAAATATAGCCTGCGTCCGTGGTACAGTGGTAGCGTATGCGACCGCTGTGCACAGGTCTCGTTTTCGATTCCCGGATCCGATCAAATGTATGTATGATATGCAAATATTAATAATTCGAGTAATATATTCGTATTTCCAAAAAATAGTATGTAAATATTTTAACAGTCAATCTAGCTTACATAGTACAAGCTTTGCTTAGAACTAGATGGCGTTGTGTGTCAGTTGTCCGAAACTATTGTTATTATTATAGTGAAATTTCGCGTGAAGACTGCAATGCCTTTAAAACTGCCTTTGATGTACTCGTAAGAGTCATTTCCTGGATAGTCATTTCTATTCTTTCAAATATTCACGAAAAGTCTGGTTAAGCTTTGAAGAAGAAAAAAAGGTGAAAATAGACGGCCCTTTTTTCAAATATCGACTTAAAGTAAACTTTTAATGATAAAATATTAATTTTGTTTACACAAGCCTGAGTAGTATTACAGAGTAACATAATTTATAAATAAAAATGATAATAATAATAAAGAAAATAAATCCAAAGCATTTTTTTATATTTAAAACAATATCCACCTTGCAATAAAAATTTACATAAAACCGAGCTTTATAACAATGTAACTTGATTTTTAATTTTATAATTTTTAATGTTAATAATTAGAGATGTCATGAATATTTGGCTATTCGGTCATTTTTTCTACTATTCGGTATTCGGCCGAATGTACAGAACTATTCGGCCAAACACCGAATAATAAATCACAAAAAAAAATATCACTTACAAAGATTTTTGTTTTACCTATAAGTAATCATAATAATACCTAAAACAATTTTTTTCAGCATTTTTTAATAGGAAACGATAGCGCTTTTCCTCATAAATAATATCTGCTTAGGAAAATCATATTTCTACATCATCCGGTCGATTGAAAGAGAATGCCTAATGACATTTAGTCCATCTTTGTAGAACATGTGCAAGTTTAAATAAATAAAATAGCGGCTCACTGTATATGTATACTGCTTCCAAATTCTGCTAGCAAATTCTGTTCCGTAAGGATATTTTTATGGGTTGCGGAATATTTGGCGTTTCGGCCAAGAGACTCGCCGAATATTCGTTTTTCGGTATTGGGCCATTTCACTACTCCCGGCATCTCTAGTAATGATAAAAAATAAAAATAATATTTTTTTATAATTATAAAAAATTAATACTCAACGCATTTTTTAAGATCTAGAACAAAAATATCTACTTTGGTCTATAAAATTAATTTATTACTTATTATTTATTTTAATTTACCTATGAAATTGCCGTTTTGTATGCAATAGGTGAAAGTACTTATTTTTTCAAACTTTTTAGCTGATTTTTACAAGAAGGGCATCATTAAACTGCCAATGCGTTGGCAAAGATGCATCGATTGCATGGGTGATTACTTCGAATGACAGAAATAAAAAAGTTTGAAAAAATCAGTACTTTCACTTATTGCATACAAAACGGCAATTTCATAGGTAAAGACCTATTATTCAGGGAGAGAATATTATGTAAACGACAACTCTGACAAAAAAATTCAAGCCGCAAATTTAATAAAACAAAAAAAAAAATTATAACAAGAAACTGAAAACGCCAGTAATATCATATCTCACACATGACCTTCTTATTCCAAAGCCAGCAGAACCTGTGCTATGGTGACCAGGCTGCAGATAAATTATATTTTTCGAAGTATATTACATTATTATTATTATTATTATTATTATATTACTACTTATCTATAAATTTTATAGATAAGTAATACCCAGACACAGAAGAAATGATCGTACTCATTGCACAATTATTGTCGAATCGAACCCACGACCTTTGATAGCAGTCAGACTCACTAACCACTACACCCACAGGCCAGTAAAATATACAGTATAATAAATTGCACAGTTAGGGTAAGTATCAGAATAGTAAAAAAACCGTAACCGATAATAGAAGGGAGAATTTGCTTTTACACAAAAGTTACAGAGAACTCAGAAAAGGTTGACAACAGCACTCCAAACAGAAGGAAAAGTTGACACAAACCCTATAACAACCATGCCATGCCATGAGACCTATGTCCAGCAGTGGATTATCAAAGGCTGTTGATGTGATGTGTGGATTATAATAGGAGCAATCCGCGAGGATATGTTGCAGCACATAAGATATTTTTATGTTTTTAGAAACTATTATTACAGGTCTGAAAGATAATTTTGACATAATTTTGGATCAAGAATCTGGAGTGTCACCATCCCTATTCATCCCGTAGGTGTCGTAAGAGCCGACTAAGGGAGCAAACTAAGCAGGACAACAGCACTGTAAAGAGAAGGAAAACTTGAAAGAAACCCTAAACTAACCTGTCTGGCCAGCGTGGTACAGTAGGCTAAAACCTAACTTTCTAAGGAGAGGCTTATGTCCAGCAGTTGGTGATGATGGGGATGAATACATTGCAACAGTGTGGCTTTCTTACTATCCTACGTTCTAATCTACTTTAATAATTGTCTAATTATCTTAATACCACCTATGTGTTATGAAAAACCTACTATTTCCATTTTGTCAGAGCCTGAAGGAATGATCATAGCAATATTTGACTACACACAATCATTAATCCTTTTTTTGTTACCGTAAACCGGGAGACGTTACTGTGCCTAGTGACCTGGTGTTTAACACTCATATTTGTATTTTTTCAGATCATATTTCATTTAGAATCCTTATATAGCTTTTATAATAATAATATTGTACCACATTCACACAACGCCATCTAGTCCCAAACTAAGCAGAGCTTGTACTATGGGTACTAGACAACTGATATAAGTACATATATAGTTTTTTTTTTGTAAATACATACATATTTTACATAGAAACACCCAGACCTAATCAAACATTAAATGTTCATGCACACAAATGTTTGACTTGAGCGAGAATCGAACCCACGAGCTTTGGAATAGCAGTCCGTTACACAAACTACTACGCCATTCGGTCGTCAATAGCTGATACATAAATACGCTTACCACTGACACTTATATACCTACCTACTAATTTTTTCCTAAAATATTTATATATTTAGAAATATTTAAGTATGTTTATCAGCAGTCTGCTTACCATAGTAGAGCTTCTGCCTAATAAGGATCAGACTGCCGTGTGTGAGACGTGTGAGTTATTTTTATTATTTAATAATTTTACTCATGCGTACGTGTACAAGTAAAGGTTTGATAATATGTTTTAAAACTTATATTTGACAACCCTAGCAAATATGGCCAGAAATGCTAGGATTGTCAAGTAATTTCTTCTTCAGTTATAACTCAATCTCCTGCTATTCGCCACCCGTGTCGGAACATCGGATGAATTGTCTTTTCGATTCCAATTAGCTCTCACTAAAGACCTGGTACTAGAGGGACTTCCCTATGTTAGTAAGAATTATACTTTAAACCAGAAATTGCTTTCAGAATCCATGTGGTACTGAACAGCTAGCAAGGGCAAGAAGAAAAATCTGTGATCAATTTTAATAAGGATATAATTAAAGAGCAATACAGATAGATATCTTTTTCCAGGCAATGATTTCTTCTTTAAATCTCAAACAGCAGTGTCGATGGCCCAGTTGATGTACGGAGACACAGCAGTATACACACTAGGTAAATTATTAATAGGACATCCTTTATTAAAAGAAAATATTCCCATGATAATATCTCCTTGAATAGGGTCGTCGAAGTACAAAGGAGAACCTGGGTCACCCTGGCAAAAACTATTATTATTGTTAATTGCATCAGCACATATCATATTTTCAGTAACGGGCAAAGGTTTGCTTGACGCTAAGTAACCTTCTGCGCAGACGCCGTTATTCACTGTGATAACCTCCGTTTCCAAGAGTGTGGAAAAAAAATGTGAATCCTGTTGAAGAATAGAAAATATATTATTACTATTATTTTCATTTTCAATCACATTTATGATTAACTAGCTATGCTTTGCCCGCGTGGTTATTTTGTTATTACGCTTTTCTAACTTAAAAAAGTCGAACTTTCATACAACCGTTCATCTCCCTTTTTACCCCCTTAGGGTTGAAATTTCCAAAAATCTTCTCTTAATGGGTGCTTACAATGTAAAAAACATCAGCCGCCAAAATTTCAAGTTTATAGAATGAATGGTTTAGGCTCTGCGATGATAAATCAGTCACTTAGAGCGAGTAAATTTATATGTTTAGATAGCTCGCCTCTAAGACTTGCAGAATAATGTAAAATTCTGCTAGCCGAGACCGAAGAAACAGTTATCGTTTACGCTACAATAGCAGATGCATAACATGTTTAACTCTCGTGACTTGCTTGATTTACACCAGCAGGGTTGTAAAAAGGGTTGTAAAGGGGGGCCAGGGTTGCACGAGGGTTGTAAAAGCACTCAGCAGCCTTTTAAAACAAATATCACAGTCGTTTTAAAAGGCTGCATCGTGATTGATTGTAATAAACTGTTATAGTTTCATTCCTTCATTTTCAACCCTAGGGGTGAACGAGAGGGGACTAGTAGGGGGGTGGGGGAGTTCGAACCATTGTGATGAGAGGATTAGTCAGCCTAAACATGGTGTTACCGTGTCTAGCTGCTTATAGATGCGCTTCGGGGCTCCTTCATGGCTTTTGGCTTTTTTGTCCACTGTAGAGGGGCTGTGGAGAGCAACGGAAAATGCCGTAGCTGCTGCGGAATTTTGGGCAGAAAAAATTAGGGGTGGTCACTAAGACCCCTAAGCTAGATGTGGTATTTTTTCTTCAAATTTGAATGAGACTAAACGGGAAGTATACATACGGAAATCGAGTACCTTGACCTTTTGTAATATCAATTAAAAATACAGTTACAATTTCCAAAAGCGTTAACAGAAAAGCTATAAAATAAAATAAATCGCTCAGTTTATGTTATTTTTGGTTAACAGAAATGACAAACAGGACACGTATAAATTAACACGTATCTATCGGTGACAATCACAAGGTATTTGTTCAAAGGGATTGCTGTTATATTTGTACTGTTTAGTTTAATTTTATACACAGAATTAAAGCCACTCTAGATGCATCTGTTAGACCTTTATTATATAATACAAACGTACTTACAAAACACAAAGTAACAAATAATAATAAAATATCTCACACGCTCACACACGGCCGTCTGAACCCAAACTAGGCAGAGCCTGTACTATGGTAACCAGACCGCTGATAAACATACTTATATATTTCTAAATACATACACATTATAGATAAATTACACCCAGACACAGAACAAATGACCGTGATCATCACACAATATCTGTCTTGGGTGGGAATCGAACCCACGACCTCCGGTTTAGCAGTCAGGGTCACTAACTACTAAAAAAAAATAAAAAAAAAAGATAAATTATCTATTACACTCAAAGCATTCTATCCTTCATCAGCAATATACATTCTCTATTAAAAAAGCTATACATATATTATTGTTTTAGTACTTACCCAAATGAAATTCCAACCAACAGTCCGAACTGGCAAATTATCGGGGACTTTTATACCATGAGTTATGAACCGACCCTGTTGAATAGTAGGGCCATAAATCAAAGGTTCTGTCAATCTCACGACAGTGATGTCCCCATCCATACCATGATGCCTATATAAGGGATGGATGTATACCCGAGCCACGTAATGTAGGCTTCCTCCATAGTGACTGTGTGCAGTACCAGCGCGGATCCGACGGTTTCTTGGGTTAAATAGGCTGTAACAGAATATTATTTTGCACCAATAGAATCTATCACTTCCTTATAACCTTGACATAGTCTAAATACTCGGTCACAGTGTTTCCTGATGTCGTGCAATCTCATATAGATACATCCAACGACGACCGGATGGCGTAGTGGTTTGTGTAACGGACAGCTATTCCAAAGGTCTCGGGTTTGATTCCCGCTCAAGTCAAACATTTGTGTGCATGAACATTTAATGTTTGATTTGGTCTAGGTGTTTCTATGTATAATAAGTATGTATTTACAAAAAAAGTATATATGTATTTATATCAGTTGTCTAGTACCCATAGTACAAGCTCTGCTTAGTTTGGGACTAGATGGCGTTGTATAAATGTTGTAAAAAGAAAAAAAAAGACTAAGGTTCCTTGAGTAATATAATATTGTTGCTTTTTAAGGATGTTGACGAAGTATGGGAGATATTAATCAAATGTCTTTATTTTTATCTTCCTTCTTATATGATATTCCGACCAGGCGAAGTGATTACGCCAGGCGGGCTGCGGCCCAACGGGTAATGTTGGGAATTTGTATACATGCTAATAGGCGAGAGAATTGTTTATATCGCGATACAGGATAAGCAGTTGTGTGTGTCTTCGTTAGATGGCGCAGTAGTATGTTTCTTCGTTTCGTGGAAGTGGCCACATCATTCCCCTTTAAGACCGAAGGTTGATATATGTTGTATCAGCTGTCTATGCTCTGTTGCCACTAGTCCTAGTGACTCGGGACTAAACTCCGCTGATCGACATCGTTAATGGTAAACAAGCACACGGCCTGTTTGTTGGTAAGTAGTTATGATTTACACAACTTTATGCCAAGAGTGCATAAAGTTGTGTAAATAAAATATAACAACGGCGGATTTAAATATATAACCACATGAAAACTTAACAAAATATACAACAAATAAATATATACACAACACTTATATATATATATATATACATATACAAAGAAACAGAAACACACTACAGCGCCATATAACGAAGACACGCCGAACTACGTAACCCGTACTACCCTATAGCCCGATATGAATGATTAGCATATTTACAACTTACCAACAGCAACCGCCACCCATGATCACCTCACCTGGTCGGAGGATATTCCCTTTATGTTAGAAGGACATGACACCCGTTGCTCCATACACTAATATATTCTGTAAATATTATAGATATACACAAACATACATATCTAGACCTATTTCTTAGCGTTCCATGGATACATCGTGCCTTTAGGGATGTTTGTTTCCCATGGCACCGTGAGTTTTATTAGTACCCTTAATTGAAATTGCAAAAAGAAATATCTCTGATCTGGCCGCCGAGCCACAGATATCCTCCGGTATTCTGTAATGATTTTCATACGCGTCTACTAATATAGTCCAGTATAATGTCCACTGATAATGGCTTTTGTGAAGTCTTTTTTGTTGAGCCTTCCTTTACAAACGCGAGGTTAACTCTTATGTTTGTTGTTATTTCTTTTTTCACTCTTGCCAGTGATAAATTTATGATTTGTAATACCCTATCATGGCGACGTGAACAATGGCCCCGATCTAATAGCGCCTTACAACCTGTCAGTAAGTGGCTGGCTATATCTATTTCCGCACTGCATATATACAAGCCTTTTCTGTAGCTTTTCTCCATCCTTACTAGAGTTCTTTGATCGGGCAGGGTCAATTGAAAGGCGTTGAGGTAAAATTTTAACAGGGCAGGTGACCAATCATATAAAAGTGTGCGCCGAAGCTGGTTGGATACAAAAGTCTCCTAGAGTTAACCATTCATTATATTCGTACACTGTGAATGTAAGAAAGTTCGTTGGTGTACTACCGATAGGATGATTCTGCCAACTCATTGAGAAGGAGGTAATGTACCTTCTTTTTAAATACGGAACGGTTAGTGGACATCAAGCGGGAGTGCATTCCAGAGAAGAACTACTTGAACGAAGAACGAAGAGTTCAGGATTTCGAAATTATGGGAAGGAAATAAGAGAAACAAATTATTTGCCGATAAAAGATTTCTGATGTGATTAGACGACAAGAAACGGAAGTACGGTGCAAGGTAAGCAGGTGAGGATGGAGAGATGAGGAATGAATATAAAGAGGTCAGAGCTCGCTGGTTGCGGCGCAGGCGAATGGGTTTAATGAGTTACTATATTTATTAATTCAAAAAGAGAAAATTTGTCACAAATTTTCTTTTATTGCATGCATGTTTTTCATTTTTCATTTTCATTGTTCATTATTGCATGTTGCAAACCTCATTTCTAAGGAGAGGCTTATGTCCAGCAGAGGACTATTATTGTTGATGATGCATGTGAAATGGTAAGTTTAATAAAATATTATTGATTACTTACTACCCAGAAAAGCATTGAGCAGCAGACAGAACATAATTGGAACGAAGAATAGTTGCAGAACAAGAGTGAGTCCAGGATCCAGGTGGATTTCTTATTTCCACTTGGGCGATAGAGGGCCATCTGTTCACATTAGTAGGCCAGCCACGCGCAGAGGGACCTTGAGGCGCAGCCGAGACAATGGCTGAAAAGAGAAAAATGATTTCGAATTTATTTAATAGTCGTTACGTAGAGATGTAGCTTCACTCTGCATTCTCTATCGCATATATCATGGAGAGTACTCCGAAGAATTGTTCGAACTAATACCAGCCGCCAATTTCCGCCACAGTTCCACACGGCAAAATTTTCATCCTTATTACCTGGATAGTTGGCGCTCCACTACTGTGCGCTTTTCGAGACAATTTTTGCCCCGCACAACCAATCTGTAGAACGGGTTATCGTCTGCAGTATTTCCGGACCGATACGACCTTCAAACCTTCAAGAAAAGAGCGTACTCCTTCCTAAAAGGCCGGCAACGCGTTTGTGACTCCCGAGTTGCTGACGTTCATCGGCGGCGATGGTCACTTTCCATCAGGTGACCCGCCTGCTCGTCTGCCCCTCTAACATAAAAAAAAGTCATATTTAGAATGTTAATGCAAATTTTATGTAACAGGTATCACGTCACTTGTAATCCCTGTTTCAGTAGCGGCTTTATTTGGCTGATTCCAGCCAGCCAGCAATATCAGTCCCATATTCTATCCAAAATTTGTGGTAGCCTTTACAACTGACCGTATTTGTTGTCTTTTTCACAATTTATGTTATAAATTCATACCATTTGAAAAAGTACCAACAGTCAAATTAAACCAACAATCAAAAAGATTTTTGCAATTGGACCGACCTTAAATGGAATCTATACTAATATTATAAAGCTGAAGAGTTTGTTTGTTTGAACGCGCTAATCTCAGGAACTACTGGTCCGATTTGAAAAATTCTTTCAGGGTTAGATAGCCCATTTATCGAGGAAGGCTATAGGCTATATATCATCACGCTAAGACCAATAGGAGCGGAGCACCAATGAAGAATGTTTCAAAAACGGAGAAAATTTATTACTATTGAGAGACGCAGACGAAGTTGCGCGGGTCAGCTAGTTGAGAATATGGCAGCAAGATGATGTTGACGATATGTTAAATGGAGGCGGTATACTCGTAAGAAAAATATAGTTTAGTAGTTTAATTCAGTTAGTGGCAAAAACCTTGAGTGAAGATACATTCTGTCATTATATGGATGTCTTTATCTAAACCGTAATAATCAAGGACATCAGGACGGCTTTCAGTGTTAAAAAAACCTTCAACTCAGCATGATTATAAAGACTTTCCGTTGTTTACAAACAAGTATAGGTATATAATACAATGGAGTCTGAATTTGTTATTTTTTATTAGTACATGTTTTTTTAAATTAGAGAAATTAATTTAATCTTTGAGACTTCAAATATGATGATAATGATCTGAGTCAAAAAGAAGACCCTAAAAATAGTTAATTTTTCTCTCTGCCAATCAATTCTTAGCTATTGCATTACTGTATGGACAGCCGGTAAAACTCATATGATGAAATAATGTTTCCACACTGTTTCCACAAAACTGCTCTGCACAATACCACACTAAGTCAATCATTGGACTATCACGCACAAACTCAACCACGCACTCACACACACACACGCACACATAACGCAAGCACACACACTCAGTACATGTTTGCTTCACACACGGTTCCATATTTATATATTTTTTATTTCCTTAATTATCATTTTATTTAATTTTTAATTAATAAAGCAAGGACTGAAAGAAACTAAACCTAACGACACAGCGAATCCTAGTGTAAGATTTAGAGATTAATCCCTGTACCTGTTTTTATTTTGAGACAGTAAGAATCGATTTAATTACAGTATGTTAATACGAGTATTTACCGGTGTATAACTGAAATAACCAAAACACTAAACAAACGCTCAACACTCGGCTCGGTGTATATTAACAAATACTGGTGTATTTGCAAATTCCCTGTGCCAATAATACGCATAGATCATTACTATTATATTTAATATAGTTATAGAGAAATATTACCTGCAATAAGAGTGACAATTGAAAAAAACATAGACGCCATTTTCCCAGAACAGAACGTTTACGTACTACTTACATTAATGCTATAATATATAATTTTATGACAACAAAAACTCAACCATTAATATCTAATCATCTGGTAAACATATTAATTTATCTTTATTTATCAATCAACGATAAGTAATTAATTCATTGGGCTTTGTGTCGATAATAAATATCGTGTGTTTTCCTCTCGGACTAGTTCCACCGCCTCGTCATGGTAGCCGTATATTTTTCCAATGTCTTGTCTATCTAATTTATATAAAATCATTCAAATAAACTTGATAGAGATTGATCTCCCATATGATAAACCTTGAATACAGAAAAAAGGGGACCTTGGTCCCCTTTATTTCTATTATTTTAGTGACAAAACATGGTCTATGTCCTTCTGCAAAGTTTTGTTTATCTCGATACTAATGTTTATCGTAAACGGTTCAACAGTTCATCCGAGGGGATTTCCGCACGGGAAAAAAAAAAAAAAAAAAAAAAAAAAAAAAAGGGTAGAAAGCGTAACAAAGAGTTGTACGTTGTTTAATAGATAATAGTTTTATAGAATTTCGTTTCACATAAAAAAATCTCATTTCATTTAATAGAATAATGTATGCTCAGAATACTTACTTTGAAAAAACTAAAAATGTATTTTTGTTACAAATAAAATTTAATGTTTTGATTTTCTTATCATAGAATACCAAAGCAAATATTCTTTTTCTTCTCTGTCTCTCTCTCTCTCTCTTCGTGTTAAGTTAATATCAAACTTATTACCAAGCTTTTTTTATCGAGTTGCAGTACCTTTGACAAAATGCATAGCCTTCTTTAAAATTACAATAACGCGTTTTAACGCTTGGGGTCGAGGTCGCAGTCATAGCCTTACCTTACCTTACCTTACCTTACCTGTTTTTATCAAATCAAGATTTTTCATGTAGAGGGCTTCCTTTGTTATCTTCGAATCGGTTGACATAAGAATTTTACATATTTAATACATAAGTGCAACAAATAAATGTGACATAAAGTTCTTTATTTTAGGAAAGTGTCTATGTTGGGCTAACCCTTTTTTTTTTTAAGTTTTTTTTTTGGGCTAGCCCTTCGGTAACTTTGCTCACTTTGTAAAAAACAAGAAATAATTGTGTGTATATTTCTATTTTTTGAAGACTTCGGCTTCGCATTTAGTCCAGATTGGGCCAACTAGGTGAAACGCTACTATGAATAGATTACTAAGCCAGTATAAAAAGCTGACGAAAAATCGTGATATTGATGTAGACATCTTCTCAAACAGTCTTCCAAAATTTAAAAGCAAAGTTATTGCGTCATTTAGATCTTCTTAGACCACTTTAAATGCATCACTGTCTCTAATTAATTTCGATGATGTTCTGTATGTTTTGTATATTATTATAGATATTGCTTTGTATAATCTTAGATGTAACTGTCCCTTACCATGCCGTGGCAACTTGTAAGTAAGACAACACTCAGCAAATATTTGTAAAACATGTTTGGAAACTATGTATTAGTGTATGTTTTGTAAGTAGTCCTAAATAAATAAATAAATCAGCCAGCCACAAATGTAGTTTGATTATCATTCGGCTCCCAAATTACATTTAAGCGTAATTAGAAATATGTTATTGTGTTAAGACTTCATGAGTTTATTAAATAAATTTATAGTCAGAGGTAATACTTAAAATGTACCCTCGCTCAAAAGTAAGTGTCCTGGGGTGAGCACAGTTGTATAGATTTAGTATTGAAGAAAGGTACACTTTAATTTATTAGTAATTAGCAATTTTCCGCTTACGCGTTTATTGCTTATTTCATGTTTTTAGCTTTAAAAATGACGAAATTTCTTCAGAAACCATCAGCTGCCAAAATATCAAGTTCATAGACCCACCGGTTTAGGCTTAGGTTGATGAATCAGCCAATTTTTTCCTGCCATTAATAACTGCAAACAAAATTGATTTTTACAAACAAAAAGAAGATATTTTATAAGTATTCTGTTATCATTTTCTTTCCTTAATTTTTTTTTGTATAAACAGCCATCTAGACAAAGTTTTAGGTACTAACTTTGCGGTTAAGAACTTAGTGCTTTAGTAGTCCAAAACCTCACGTAAGCTGTCTATAGATGTCGCTTTTACCGATTTCTTTTTTTCGAGACGTTTATCGAAATGAATGTAATTAAAAATTATCTAAAACATCAAAAGATATTCAAATTAATTCATAAAACACATCACTTGTATTTGTGTATAAAATAAATTATATACACATATATATTTAGTATCACGTACGGATCCTTTGGAATGTGCCATAACAAAACAAAAATAATTTTAACTAGTAACATTACACTTATAAATGCGATTCTCATAACAAAACTAGTACTTATGTTTATGCTTTAATGTAAAATTATTTAAGTACAGATTAGTTTCGGTATTGAGATAACTTTTACAGGATATTTAATTTTAAACAAAATTTGAACCGTCTTTAAACAATATTGACTAAGAGCACTAAAATGAAACAATAATTACTAACCCAATTGAAAAGATTAAGTATAAGTGTAATAAGTGCGACCCTTACTATAACAGGTACTATTAATATCAATAAATGCCTTCTAGTCTGTTTTAAGTCGGTGCCAACACAAGTCCCCACTTGTGTTGGCACCGACTGCAAAGCTCCATACACACTTATATGTAGATAGTTCGTCCATCTTAGGAATCGCTTTATGAATTTTATCTGGAATATAGAAAAGGCGCACGTGGAACATGTCGCGCTTATAATACGTTAACGGGGGCGAATCCTGCGTTATCCCCAGGCGTGTTCATACAAAAAAAGTGAGATGACTGACTTGTGGTGAAGATTTATGTATAGGCGACCATCAGCGAGGCATCAGCGGAAATTTCGAAGCCCTTACGTCGTAACTGCTAGAGATTACTGCCGCATAAAATATAAACCATTCATATTTATAAATACAACTCTGACGTATGTACCTTACGACACGCAATATATTTTTAGATTATATTTATTGATGCATATTTATGACTAAATTTTGTCCACGACTACTACGTGATCAGCTGATATCAAACACCGTATCCTTACATCCTCGTTCACAGATTGTAGATATAAACTTTCAATCAAGACCTCTCCTCGTCACACCGCACTTAATAAATAGGAAAACATAACCTATTATTCTATTTTACCTTAAATATCATTTCTATATTATTTTGTAAGGTACATTTCACATTTTTAGTAGCTTAGAGCAGCCTAAAATGTACTAAATTATATGTGATAATTATTGGGGATAGGTTTGTTATTCCCAGTTTATATCAATTCACATCACAGCCGTTAATAGTTCACTGCTGGACATATGCCTCTATTTAGAAAGGAGGTTTTGGCCTGCTATACCACGCTTGCCAGATGGGTTGGTATAGAATTTGGCCAGCCGCGAGGGGGCGGCGTCCGCGTGTGCCGGACGTCGCCTAAAGAGAGGAAAATTTAGAGACGGAGCCCGCAACAGGAGCGGGCCGGCGCTAGGAGGGGTCCGGATGTCTTAATAACAGCTGTTCCCGGATCCCTCCTATTACAGGCGCAGAGTGGCACACCGTGTGGTTTTAGTCGGTCCGAGTCCGACACACCACCCCGTCGCAAACCCCGGTGGGGTGACGGTCCAAGGGGATTACCACACGTAAAAAAAAAAAAAGGATTTGCTTCTCTCCAGTGCCTTAGTCTTAGTCGGCTCTTACGACACTTACGGGATGAATAGGGGTTGTCACACTCCGTATTCTTAATCCGTCACCACACGGATATGGCAATTCATTGATGCTACTTGGTAGGCTGCTGTCATTGGAATTATCTGCAAACTAATTATAAGTAGTACCTTCCTTATCTTTACGCCACAATGGTAAGAGTAAGATACGTCATGGAGGTTATTTGTGTCCATGGTACAAAATAATAGTCCTTGGGCGTACACCCAAGGGCTGTTATTGCATATACCGTTCGTCAGAGGACTATAATTTGTAAAACCGCACTCAGTATGATTATCCTATTTTGCAGAGAGTTCAATTTAAAATGGACCAAGCGATTATTGTAAGGGTATCTAGGACCAAATGTCTAGTGAGTGCTCTTTCGATTGACTCTATGCGGTGCGTGTAAAATGTATACCAAGGATTCCTAACGGTACTACCAAACTCTACTGTACTCCTCACAAATGTTTTATAAAGAACAATTTTTGATTCAGTGCGTTTGAAATTCTTAGTATTTCGTTTTATGAAACCTAAAATTTGGACAATGACTGTTGGCAATGTTATCATGTTGAGGAACAAAATAATATTTTAGAGTCAAGGACCCAAGTCCCGCACAAAATCGGTGTAAACTGAATCAACTTGCTTATTTTTACCAAAACTCTCTAAAATAGGAGAAATGTGGAATACTTGATTGGTGGGGACAGAATATTTCTCTAGAAAGCCGTGTTGCTCGATTCGAATTAGTGGTTTTGTATGCTCAGTCAATACAGATGAAACTAGGGACTCAAAAATTCTAAAATTCGCTTCCAATCGGCAGGAATGTGCCACTGATTAGGAATTTATTTACTATTTCCATGATAGGGTAAGATGGAGGTTGGGCGCATCGTTTAATGAAGAAAGGTGGAATGTCGTTGGGCCCAATACCTTTGTTAGGATTTAAGCGCTTCAAACATAACCTTTTTTTTTTAGTTTAGGACGGCAAAAAATTATGCATTACACATTACAGTTGATAACAGATAAAGGTTATATAGACACCTTGAACATAGACTAAATCGACCTGAATTGAGAAGCGAAAAGGCAATGGCATTGCTGCAAGATGACGATGACTGGTGATTATTGTGAATTGTTGAAGGTAATGTATTTTTATTAGATTCTTATGTTTGTTGAAGCTCTATAATTATTTAGGATTCTTTTTCAGGTTATTTTCAATAGAATTCTTATAGTTTGTATAACAATCACGACCTTGTTATAGCATCATTTCTTAATTAACTAAAATTCCATCCTGTCTCTAGGGTTATTGTGTTTATAGAACCTATGCCTAAGTTTATCCTTCTCTTTCAAGAGCCTAATTAGATCATCGGTAAACCAAGCGGGTTATTAACCTTTACACGATTTTGGTACATATTCATTAATAACTCTACAAACTTTATTTTGAAAAGAAGAAACCATATCATTTACTTTTAGACGATTATCAGGGACATGTACATAGGCCATATCCACTACTGTTGACTTTCATTCAAATTGTTTTTCATTTCTTCATAACGTGTGTTATAAAATGCCAGAGTATTTCGAAACAAGACAATTTGTCGTTAATACCCTGCAGGTGTTTAGTTACTAGGTTTATGCTACTAATCATGGTCTTAACTGCAGCCTGTCAAGTTAATGCCTTTGACCTATAAAATCTTAATTTTACAGGTCAAAGGAAGCAAGTAAGCTTACTGACGATTTTCGAACAATTTATGCACTGCGCTTTTGCTTGTGTGTGCTTGAGGATTATGTCTTACAGTGTGTGTATGTCTTACAGTTTGTATACCGGAAAAGCTATTAAGTCCTTTATAATTTGAAATTAGGCACAGTCACACCGCTGTCACCGCATTTCTCTAGTGTTTATATATGACTAGTAATAATATAAAGAGCATTGAAAACAGGAAAATACAGGTTAGCTTGCGTTGACTTTTTGAATGTTTTTTTAATTAGTTTAATTTTCCATCATTCTACATCTAATGATCTTTTGAGAAGTGCTGGAATTGTTCTCCACCTGTCATTAGACACAACAACCACTTTTAAATTGACCATTCAAACTTTGCGTTGACTCTTACGCTTTTGTAACATGTTCTTTTAACTATAAAAAACAATCATACTCAAAGATAAAAATATGTAGATAAAACCAGCATTTACAGGAAAATCCGATCTCAGGCTGTTAGGCTCTGCGTCAGCGAAGACTTGCGGTGGAAAGTTCTTCATCTTACTGCACGTTGTCATCTTATAATCACCTATAATTAGTTTCCTATGAACATCCTATGTCCCTCATTATAATAAAAATAAAATAAAATTTTCGGACATCTAACATACAAAGCGAACTAGTTTGAAACGAAGCGGAGTTTTTACTATGAAAGGTAGAGTGACTGAGAGAATACTTCATACATAATAATACATACCTACATGTTACACATAGAAAACACCAAAACTGCGGAACAAATATTTGCAGATTATACAAACATTTGGTCCGACCCGAAAATCTGCAACACTGCACCACAGAAGCAGTCAAAGGTAGATTTTAAGAATCGGAACATACTTCTTGAAATTAAGTCCATCCCTAGCAATTTATAATGTTAAAAGAACAAAATAAATAATTAAACAATAACACAACAGTGAATCGGTAACATAATATAAATATTTATGCGTATATAAAATATTATCTAAATGTTTATTGTATCTACTCATAAAAGGAATGATAGGTTATATAGATACGGTCATAAATATAGCTAATCTTAATATTAAGTAAAATATAACACGTAATACTTACTAACTTACTTTCAAATATTTCCATGTATTTGAATTCGAAACACAATGAGCAGGATATCAGGTATTTTAGCCCCTCAATGCAGTATTGATTATCAATTTTTTTACAGTATTTTTTTCAGCCGATATCGATTCGTTAGTTCAATGTTCTGTCCATTGCTTGCCGAGCATTTTTCGCCAGCACTACAGATGTTCAGCATTATTTACCGTCATTATTTGTATTATAAGAAAAGATAAAGAAGACAAAAGTAGAGGCAAGGTTATTATAGTCGCCGAAAGATATTCTTGTCAGCCCTGTTTCTTTTGAAAAATAATATTTTTCACCATTATGAATCTTTTTATAATATTCTGTTTGCATAATCTGGTTTTGGTAGTAATGGACAAATATCCAGGTCTAGTCCGCCGCTGCCAGTAACTACTATTACTGTACCTTTATTTCTGTGAAAGGAAAACCCAATTTTTGGCTAAGATGATCCAATACGTTCAGCAACGCTATTCGGAACAAGTCAGCCAAGACATGGGGCTTTATCTAACCAGGAATAACCACATCTACACATTTTGTGTTCATTAGCTGCAAATAACGTGACATCGTTGGCATAGCTAAGGTTATTTATCTTCATTCCACCAATAGATCTTAGAGAGATCACTATTAATTTCAGTGGTGAGATGTTTAGGTACTCGAAGTTCAGACATATCATTCCACAGCTTTTATCATTTGAGGTAATCTTAAGTTAATCTTAAGTTGATGAAGTATTCAAAACTTACAAAATCAACCAACCCATATAAATATTATGTATAAATCTTTGTATTTGAATTAAAATAAATGGCTAAAATGCATTTAAGCGTAAAACTGAAGAATGGAAGAACTATTATTTTATTTGTTAATATCAGTATGCGTATGCTTTAAGATAAAAAAATTATGGAAGTTGCCCTGATAACAGCAGAATCAAGGAACACAATTCACGTAGAAAAATTAAAACAAACCAATATTAGATAAACACATCGAGTCCAATGAAATAGACAGCTTCCTAGAATTTGGGAGTTATCTCGATGGTGCTTCAGATCTGAACAGCTTCTGAATGTCTATACAGCCCAAGTTCGATCTTGTATAAACAACTGTATTTATTTTTGAGATGCCTTTGGACTCTGTAGACCATGGAATTCGTAATCCTATAAACGGCAAAGAACTCACGAATAGAGAATTTCATATACTGATACCGTCATAAATTTACCTGTATATTGACTTTTTATATCGTTCAGTACAGTACAGTTTAGAGGATATCTCTATTTGGTATCATTGACTCCTCTACTATAGGTGTATGCATCATATTTTGAGGTTGATGAGTAAAATCTAGCAAGGAGAGTTTTATTTATGAAAGTTGAGTACAAGAGTATCGGAGTATCTATGTAAAAAGGAATGAGACTACAAATGCAGTGAATGAAAAGAGTAATGACGGAAAGAAGAAGAAAAATCATTGCCCTTATAATATATTTTGTTAAAAAGTTAATAATAACTTTTCTATCGGTTCTAATAATTAATATCTAAAAACATCTAAAAACAATACGGTGATAGTAAGTAAATAACAGAATTAAATTGATTCATAGATAAATATTAAGAATTTATTTATCTCAAGGATTATCTTGCATTAACATATCTTGTGCTACCGCCAAATGAAAATACTATAAAAGCCCAACGCTTTTCAATATCATCCACTGTCTGTCATTATCGGTAACAATGGCATCACTCACTTGGGCTGTTGTTCTCCTAGCAGGTAATTTATTTGAACACTCTAAAATACATATAAGAAAATTCGATTAGTGTCTATCCGTTTCTTTTTATCGATGTGAGGTCATTCATCAATTCAGAAATTTAGGTTAAACCACAGCGCCTGTACTTTTATACCTAAGTAAAGAAATAATTATTTTTATACAAATGTAAAGTTCAAGAAAGTTCTTTTCACTTAAATCATCATGTCCATACTTGAGTTGTCCTTTATCCGTTGAATAGACCTTTGGTTCTGTGAAGATGTGTCTTCAATGACAGCTTTATCTCGCCAGTCATCTTGCAAATCTAAACCGGATTGGGGGCCCAAAAATCCTTCCCTCCAATTACGCATTCTAAGGGCAAGAACAATTTTGACTCTTGAAATGCTATGACCCGTGATAGTCATTTACCATCAGGTGGACATCCGGTGGACAAGCGGACGCTTTGTGTTAAATACTATCTGAAAAATTTGATTAATTATTTGATTATTATTGATGATGATGATTATTATTAGAAAATAATAATTTGGATGGTGTTGAGGTTTTGGCCTCCATCAATGAATATTATAATTCAAGTGGATATAATATCTTTCTCATGGCAATGATATCTTAGTTCTTGTATTAATTTGGACTTTTACTTTTGTAATTTGGCAACGTGTTCGCGTTCAGTTTTATCAAATTATTTAATAGATATTTTACGACTACTGATAACAACAAAATACAATAAACTCGTATTATAGTAGTCACTAAAAGCACAATAAATTAAGATAAGATTTTTATACTATTATCGTAGTTTAGGTACTTACTGGTTACGATATGGTCAAAATACTATGTAAAACCAGGAAGCTTTAAATTCTATAAACGTATTTAAACGTTTTTATTTATAAAGGAAAACGTAAGAACATATATTTTGCATAATTTTTTGGATCCAAAACCTTCACAATTGTCTTAGAAGACCTTATATATATTTCATCGCGATTGATGTGTTTAATATATAAATAATCGATTTTAGGCGTTTGTTCCTCAAAATAATATAATCAATACAGGATTACTTCATGGTTCGTCTATTTTTCTCCATATCTGTTTAGGAATTTGCTTTTATATATATATCGATGTGAGAATTTTCACGACGGTAAAGTTACATTGATAATTGAAAAGAAAACTGAAAGAAATCTTTAAGAATTTGTTTGCGACGTGAATAAACTAGATCTACATCCGCTTCCGCACAAATGGGCTTACTCAAAGGATTGGAAAGGGCGTCAACGGATATTTGATTTTTGAATTGCCGCCATTTAAAAAAATCCCCCTAGAATCAGGGGGGAGGGGTGGTCTCTAGGCTCTAGTAACCTCAGTGGAAAGCAACGAAAGGACTCCAAGTCGATCAGTTACTATCGAAACAATTTTAATTTGCTTTATATTCTAGTTTCTTGCTTATACTTTTACAACCAAACGTACTTTTATAACAAAACTTAGCAACAAACCTATTTCTACTATTAGCGGGCAAAATTATGATTTCACTAGTCATAGACTAAATAACTAGTTGCATTTTTTCAGGTTTGACTTGCACCCATGCTCATGCTTTGGGAGACCCGATACCAATACATAGTTTACCTAGCATTGCCCAGATAGAGTTTAGGCTTGGTTCAACCTGGAGGCAACAGTGTGTTGGAAGCATCATCACAAACTATCACATGCTGACCGCTGCTGCCTGCGTCCAAGTGTAAGTAAACTATCAACTTATCTTATTTGAGATGTAAGCGGACTTGACTTAATTATAAAAAAAAAACACAATTATACGTTTAATTCTGATATTCTCATGAAGTTTTTTTATTATTTCAGTCCTATTGGCCGTCGTATTCGTGTTGGTAGTCATGAAAGAGCATTCGGTGGTTTAGTTCGTGATGTAGGTATTGTTAGCAATCATGACAGTTTTGGATCCAACGGTAACGATGGAGACATGAGCGTAGTTCGAGCAGCCTCGGCCTGGGTATTCGGATCGACGGTCCAGTCTATTCCCATCGTTACGCAGAACTACGTCGTACCTGCAAACTTTGATGTGTTTGTGGCTGGATGGGGTGTTACCACTGTAAGTACATATGTTATGTATCATCTTCAACAGTATCAGAAGCACAGTACAAAGTTTAGTTAGAAAGAACGAAACAGTACAAAAATACAAGTCAAGTTTTCAACTATTTACTACCGAGTTGTACGCTAATTCTTAATACTCCCGGTCTTTCATCTAAGTTCTTTTTCTATGAATTTTGAATATATATACTTATATATAATAATATATATATGTTTGTAAAGTCCCCCGCGACACAGGATTTATTCCTTGTTGGATGTTGCCTTTAATATATTTATTTATATATATTCTCATATAGATAAATAAAATTTTCAAATCAGTCTTTTCATTAAAAATTATGACCTTCGTGTTCACAGCAAGGAGGCCTTGTTGGGGACGATCGCCTCCACGTGGCTGCCCTGAAAACCAAGCCTATCATAGAATGCATGAGCCAGCACCAAGGTCGCGTCACTACAAACATGCTATGTGTCGGTCGTGTTGACAGGCCTGGTATTAACTTCGATCCCAGTGATATTGGAGCTCCTGTCATCTACAGCGGCCATCTTGTTGGTGTATTATCCTTCGGCGCATCTGCCAACAATGATGAGTTGCCCGCTGTTTCTAACGCTATCGGCAGTTACTCTGATTGGATTGTGAAGAATGTCAGTTAAAACAAAAAGTTATAACCATGAAATTCTATTTAATTTTATAACTGTCGCTAAGCTAAATGTACCACAATAAAATGCATATATTATGTTCCACACCTGTGATACATATTTGAGGTAACTTTAAATGAAAGATTTTTTTTTATAGTATTTGTTTTTAAAGTCAGATGAGAGTCTTAAAATAAAACCCAATTCTTACGTCACCTTATTTATAATATAGTAAACGTGTAAATCAAAAAGAAGCTTACAATGGAAGGTCATTGTCTTCGAGATCGGTGACCCATGAAACACTTATCTGTATGTAACCAGCATGTGGTTTGCGAGTAAAAGTGAAGTGTGGCACTTGGATACTTTAAGTATAGTTTGTTGAATAAATTATTTTGAAAACGATTCAAATCCTTCTGTGAACAAAGAGTGTCTGCGATGGTGTTTATTTGCTTCACATATTATCAGCGTACAGCAATATTTTTGACTGTAGAAAGCAATAAGTGATGTCGTTGATAAATATGTTAAACACCAGAGGACCTAGCAGTGATCCCTGAGGAACGCCTGAAGGAATGCTTCAGGCTCTCAATGAATATCTATTCAGCACTAGAGTCTGCCAAACACCTGAACCAGCTATGTCCCATATTCGAATGGATCATAATTTATTGTTCTAATCTATTTTATCTAAGACATTTTTTTTAAACATCCTGTATTGGTGTGTGTATTGAAGTCCTGATTCTAGCTTTTAATAAATGCCGTATATCCTACATTTTTTAAATGTGATAAAAAAGCTTAAAGTTCTCCTGATAGAAAATGGTTTATTACCTTATTGAAATGTTGAATACTAATCCATAGTTGATGGCGAAAGGTGTAATAATAATCAACTGTACCTTACTGTTGTAACTGGAATTGCCTGCAATCGCCCACATGATGATTTGCAAGCACTATCAATTCTCCCGTTCATACAGTGAAATTAGTCTCGAGAAATTTTTGCATATGTAGTGGTGTGTATATTACTCAGATCTTAGAGCGCGTTTCCACTATATCGTTCTGGCCTGTACAAAAATGTTTCGATATCCTAACATTACTATTTAATTTTATACTTATCCCTAGCAACACTCTGATTTTTGTTTTCAATAAAAACAAGTTTTTATTTTAAAGAAAAAGGTTTTGACTTTATAAAAAAAAAGGTGTGTGTGCGATTCACACACGATAGAAGTGAAACTTCAAAGAGGAGAGACCGATATTTAAAATTTTTCTTTTTTTTTTCCTTTCATCTAGGTTCTAAATCTCTTGCCGAGATATTTCAATCTAATGCAAAAAATCGTCACTTGATAGTGGAAAGTGGAAACACGCACAAAACCAGAATAAACCAGTTTACGCTGTCCGCAGGTGCCTACTACTACAAACACAAAAATTTCTCCAAGCTAATTTACCTGTACCTATATGAAGTACTCACTAAATTCAAGATTCAGTTCAGTACATGAGACAGTTATAGCCATACTATGGACTAGCTGGTACCCGCGACTTTTAGCGGAGAATTTGAAAAGCGCTGCCTTAGTGGGTTCGATTCTCGGACCGGGCAAAGTTTTATAGGGTTTTTCTAAAAGGAAAAATAGCCTAAGTTACTCCTTATATATACAGCTACCTAGTAGCAAAATATTATCAAAATGGTCAGGAAGTTTAGAATACTACCCGGAACAAACATGCAGACAGACAGACAAAAAAATGAAACTGGTTTTTAGGCGTAGGTATCGTGCAAATAACCGTGTGAACATGAAATAAACCTAGTATTTGTACATTACAAACATATATATAATATCTATTTTAATTATTTTTATAGATATAGAAGATACCTGGTACCCGCAACTTCATTCGCGTTTAATTTGAAAAGCGTACCTTAGTGGGTTTGATTCGAAATTATATAGGGTTTTCTGAGAGAAAAATAGCCTAAGTTACTCTTTATATAGACAGCTACTTAATAGTAAAATATTATCAAAATTGGTCAAACCGTTTAGAAGACTTGCTTCAAAACAAATGTGGTATACCACAGGGTATCATATTGGGACCTATTTTGTTCTTACTTTATATAAATGATCTACCCGAAGTAATTCTACACAAGAATATTTTATATTTTTTTTTTTTTTTTAAAAAGACAACTCCCGCATTAGGAATATATATCCTGTGTCGCGGGGGACTTTACAAAAATACATGAAACGGACACAAAGAACACCCAGACTCAGAACAACAATTTGTGGATTACACAAAGTGTCGTCCCATGTGGGGTTTGAACCCACAACACTCGGCGTAGTAGGAAGCGGCGTGGCGACCGCTTAAACCACTCCGCCATCCGTGCATATGCTGTTGATACTACTATCACTATTCAATCTACAAATAATAATGACTTAAATTATCAAGAGGAGATTAATTTGTCTTTGAATAGAGTGATTTCGTGGTTAAAGTCAAATAACCTACCAATTAATATTAGCAAAACGAAAATGGTTCAATTTCAGCCTTATAATAGTAAACGTCTGAAACTGCAAATATAACATGCTTATGAGATTATAGATTATAGTAGATAAAAACCTCGTTTCTAATGAGAGGCCTACGTCCAGCAGTGGACTGTTATACGCTGTTGATGATGATGATGAATGAGATTATCAACCAACCCGCCTGCCCAGCATGGCGATTATGGGCAAATCCTCCCATGCAGACGCAACAAAGCCACGGGCCCCAGTTCCCGGCGGCCGTTATTCCTGTTCATGGTGGCGACTGACCCTGGCTACGTACAGCGGACTGACCGCAGCAAGTTGAGAAGTCGTTGCTTCGAAGCCGGCAGTCCTTTTGGAAGTGGAAAGCTTCTATGGCCGGTTATACGCTTCGCATGCATCTCGACCTGATCCCGAAAATGAAGACTCTAGAGCGATATTAACACGTCACTACACCGAAGACCAGCCAAAAGTCAGCAATGACGAAATCGAGATGACTGAAAAATAGAAAAGCCCCTGGAGAGGATGGCGTTACAACAGAGCTGTTGAAGGCCGGAAGTAAACCCGTACTAAGGGAGCTCCAAAGGCTTTTTAACGATGTCCTTTTTGAAGCGAGAACTCTGGAGGCCTGGAGTAGGAGTGTGGTCGTATTGTTCTTCAAAAAGGGTGACAAGACCATGTTGAAGATCTATCGACCAATATCCCTTCTAAGCCACGTCTACAAGCTGTTTTCGAGAGGCATTACGAACCGTCTTGCGCGAAAACACGACGAACTCCAGCCACCGTAGCTGCTAGCTGGGTTTCGGAGCGGATATGGCACCATAGACAACATCCATACAGTGCGGCAGATTATACAGAAGACCAAAGAATATAATCAGCCTCTGTGTCTAGCATTCGTGGACTAGTGTCCAGGCCTTTGAGTCGATCGAGATCTGGTATGTTCTGGAGTCCCTGCAGTGTTGCCAAGTAGATTGGCGATACATCAACAAGTGATGAAATATCTCTACGAAGCCGCCACCATGTCCGTCTAAGTACATAATAACCAAAAAGACCATGCCGTTGCATCGAGGAGTGAGACAAGGGGACATTGTTTCCCCGAAAATGTTCTCAAATGCAATGGAGGACATGTTCAAGACGCTGCACTGGAAAGGGCGTGGCATCAATATTAATGGCGAATACATCTCTCACTTGCGATTTGCAGACGACATCGTCATCATGGCAGAGACGCTGCAGGACCTACAGCAGATGCTGAATGACCTAGCTGACTTTTCTGTAAGCATCGGCGTACGGATGAACTTGGATAAAATCAAGGTCACGTTCAATGAACATGTACTACCGGAACCGATTGCGGCACACGGTTCCATTCCCGAAGTTGTTCAAAATTATGTGAACCTCGGGCAGACATAACAGTTAGGTAGAAACAACTTCGAAGACGAGGTGAATAGAAGAATTAAGTTGGGTTGGGCAGCATTTGGAAAGCTACGTCGAGTCTTCTCATCGTCGATCCCACAGTGCCTTAAGACGAGAGTCTTCAATGAGTGCATCAATGAACCAAGATCACCGACATAGCCTACCAGATTAGAAAGCTGAAGTGGCAGTGGGCCGGCCATATTAGCCGCAGTAACGACAACCGTTGGGGAAAACTAGTTCTTGAGTGGAGAGCCCACAGGCCAGGTGGAGTGACGATTTGAGCAAGATCAAGATCAATCTGGCAGGATCTGAATGCGAGAAGCCCAAAATCGATCTAAGTGAAGTCAATGGTGTAGCCGCTTTTCTTCTCAGGCGGACTACTCACCGGCTGACCCAGTGGAGAGATCTATGAGATTACCTCAGGGCGCCTTCTAAGAGAAAAGAAGTGTGTGCGTGTGGGAAACCTACGGGACTCTTTAGAGGAAAACAACTTACACCTCAGTCATACATACATGTATATTTCAAAACAAAATTAAATTTACAATAAAAAAAAATCAGAGGGTATAAAAAAAAAACCGCAGCGGAGCGCGTCAGAGCCGAGCTGATGGTGCTCGGTGCCTCCTCGTCGTCCCTCCAGGAGGTTACTTCCTCTTCCGCCCGAGTCGGCTATTTATATTGGATATGGATAAAAGTTTAACAAATTACAATTATAAGTTTAAGGACGTAACTCTTGGGTACGGCTGTCCGCTTGCGTCGTGAGCCGCGCAATCACCAGCTTTGCCAGAGGGTACCGAGAAACTTGAGTCTGTACCAGAAGGCCACAAAAGAGCAAGCACGCCGTCTAAGACTGACCGTCTTGACCCCGAAATCTGGGACCCTACGAATGGATTAGCACTCATATAAATTAAACAGGTTCCAGAAACAAATAGGTTTAAGAAGAATTAGAGAATACTCACCACATTAGTGGGTAGATTATAACAGACTACATATCACGAAATTCAAATTACACGACAATCAAAACACTATTTAAGGTTGGAAGACACGAGATAGCAGAGTGTCTCCCGTGGCAGAAAGCCGGACCTATATATCCTCGGTTCAGGAATCTTCCAGAAGTTAACCCCTCCTCATCATTTCACTTTGACATTTACATTGAGAAAGAAAACAACGCTAACAAAATCAAAAGTAACTTGCTTTCCACCATAGCTGAACACTCTCAACACCTACACAATTTGACATGACAGAATAACAAAACAGATTAAAAAAGTAAGTCTTTTTAATTTATCTATGATGTCTCAAACAAACGCCATCTAGTGGTCCGAAAGTGAACAAAGGAGATCAATACCGTAGCTACAAACTACTTTAGATAAATCAACAACAAAGCGATGCGGCCACACAGGTGCCGCTTTTATCAATATCGTACGTATCACAAATGCACAAAAAAAATAACTGTTACACCACCCCCTCCCTCAAAGTATTCCCTGCGTAGTGTGCGCAGGGAATATCCTCAACAGGGCCAAAATCCATATAAGTGGTTTTACGAACCCCGTGGTTTAGGAAAACATTCTATACTATGACTCGCGACTACAAAGCCTGTGGTTATCCATATAGGACACCACATGACATAACCTGAAGCCATCCATATGGGACCCAAACACGACAGTAGGCCGGAAGCAATCCTCATAGGACACAAATTAGAAAAATTTTGACGTAGTCCGAGACCACAATTGAAAGAACATTTCCCATGTAGGAAATGTAGTGAATGGACCCCTCAGGTCACAAAGGGGTGTCCTGAGAAGGTCTAGTCAGTTATAACTACACCGGCTAACCTATCTAGAAGGTATCTAGCCCCAACTCTAATAAGACAATTTATAATACGAAACGGAGTCACCTGAAGAAAAAACCTGTTCCAGTTCAAAGACCTTAAGCCCACTGACAGACCATGTCAGAGGCGGCAAAGGCAGGAACAGCGGCGATGGCATTAAAGCTGCCACGCCGGATAAGCCGCAAAGCAGTACGCATCTCACTTCGCAATCCGACAACTGTATCCTCAGGATTCGCTGAAATCCCCATGGAAGACAGTTCATTAATAAGTTCATCAATTTTAAGGTAGTTAATGCACTTACGAACATGTGCCATGGTGGTTTACAATTTAAACTCGATTATACAAAAAAAATAATCTTAACAAGTTAACAAACCAGTAATGCAGACTTAATGTCTTTTACAGTTCAAAAAAAGTAAAAAATAATGATATTGAGTAGACTTCTTCACTAATAACAGAGTGTGAGAAGGTTAAAGTAAATTAATATTTAAAAAATATTATAACAAAATATTAAAACATCAAGTAATATCTCAAAGTAAAAAATATTGCTACTGAGTATATTTCTTCACCATTAAGTGTGAGAAAGCTAAAGCAAACTAATATTTTTAACAAATATTATAATAAAATATTAAAATATCAAGTAATATTTCAAAGTAGAAACTGAGTATACTTCTTCACTATTAAGTGTGAGAAAGCTAAAGCACACTAATATTTTTAACAAATATTGTAATAAAATATTAAAATATCAAGTAATATTTCAAAGTAGAAACTGAGTATACTTCTTCACTATTAAGTGTGAGAAAGCTAAAGCACACTAATATTTTTAACAAATAGTACAATAAAATATTAAAATATCAAGTAATATTTCAAAGTAGAAACTGAGTATACTTCTTCACTATTAAGTGTGAGAAGGTTAAAGCACACTAATATTTTTAACAAATATTATAATAAAATATTAAAATATCAAGTAATTTCTCAAAACTTGAGAAGCAAATTCAACTAAAGACAAAGATATTCTTGTTTCACAATTCAAGACACAAGTTATATTATCTTTAGAACATTAACACAGTAATCCAATGAATTGACAAAGTTTAATTATCATAAAAGTTATTTCAACATAAATTTTAAGTAGGGTAGGTAAGGTATGTATATCACAAAACTATTTTATTCTAATTTTAAGCCAAGAGGTTATATAAAAAAATGGAGGGTACATAAAACTTTATAAGTTAAGTTAAGTTTCATGTAAATTACACCAGTAGTACTGGGATAAAAAAACACACTGAATATACACGTATGCACAACTTCACGCTACGGACCTCAAAGGTACGAACAGAAGTAGCTAACTCAAAAAAAAAAAAGAAAAAGAAGAAAAATTTAGGCCAGAAAATGTTTCAAAACTTACCCGAAATATGTGCAGTAGGAATTTTGAGTTAAATTTGGAATTTAGGTGTCTCACTGATTTTCCTTGCCTCAGGGATGATGGTACGATAGGCTGAAAATACAATGAGGGTAAAATTATTACATGCGTACTGCACCCGCACAACCAATTAACGTCCTGGGGAGTATCGGACGGAGGGAAGTGTCTCCTCCAAAGTGAATACCCTCAGGCACCCTCACACAGCACACACACAGAGGTTTGGATCACTGGCCCCACGTTGGGCGCCAATTTGTAGCCGCTTTTCTTCTCAGGCGGACTACTCACCGGCTGACCCAGTGGAGAGATCTATGAGATTACCTCAGGGCGCCTTCTAAGAGAAAAGAAGTGTGTGCGTGTGGGAAACCTACGGGACTCTTTAGAGGAAAACAACTTACACCTCAGTCATACATACATGTATATTTCAAAACAAAATTAAATTTACAATAAAAAAAAATCAGAGGGTATAAAAAAAAAACCGCAGCGGAGCGCGTCAGAGCCGAGCTGATGGTGCTCGGTGCCTCCTCGTCGTCCCTCCAGGAGGTTACTTCCTCTTCCGCCCGAGTCGGCTATTTATATTGGATATGGATAAAAGTTTAACAAATTACAATTATAAGTTTAAGTACGTAACTCTTGGGTACGGCTGTCCGCTTGCGTCGTGAGCCGCGCAATCACCAGCTTTGCCAGAGGGTACCGAGAAACTTGAGTCTGTACCAGAAGGCCACAAAAGAGCAAGCACGCCGTCTAAGACTGACCGTCTTGACCCCGAAATCTGGGACCCTACGAATGGATTAGCACTCATATAAATTAAACAGGTTCCAGAAACAAATAGGTTTAAGAAGAATTAGAGAATACTCACCACATTAGTGGGTAGATTATAACAGACTACATATCACGAAATTCAAATTACACGACAATCAAAACACTATTTAAGGTTGGAAGACACGAGATAGCAGAGTGTCTCCCGTGGCAGAAAGCCGGACCTATATATCCTCGGTTCAGGAATCTTCCAGAAGTTAACCCCTCCTCATCATTTCACTTTGACATTTACATTGAGAAAGAAAACAACGCTAACAAAATCAAAAGTAACTTGCTTTCCACCATAGCTGAACACTCTCAACACCTACACAATTTGACATGACAGAATAACAAAACAGATTAAAAAAGTAAGTCTTTTTAATTTATCTATGATGTCTCAAACAAACGCCATCTAGTGGTCCGAAAGTGAACAAAGGAGATCAATACCGTAGCTACAAACTACTTTAGATAAATCAACAACAAAGCGATGCGGCCACACAGGTGCCGCTTTTATCAATATCGTACGTATCACAAATGCACAAAAAAAATAACTGTTACAATGGGAGAGGCCTATGTCCAGCAGTGGACTGCGATAGGCTGATGATGAATGAGATTATCGAAGAAGTAAACAACACCAAGTTTCTTGGTGTAATAAAGGATAAAAACTGCAATTGGAAGGTACACATTGATGCTGTATGTTCTAAAACGTATACCAATCAATATAAGATTTATATACATTATTACGTGAGGAGCCGTTGTCGGCGGCACTTTGCACGTATCACGTATCCTTTGGGACCAGTTATCTTCAGTTTAGTAATACACCCTATTATTGAGCAGGTAAAGTCTAAATAGTAATCTTGACGATGGGACTCTAGGAGGGGAAGTAGATACAGTTTTAGAAGATTTATCTTTTATAAAAAATAAATTTAGATCCATTGGCTTAGAAGTCAACTCTGACAAATGCGAAAATTTTACATCACCTGAAAGTTGACTGGGAGAGAATGCCTAATGGCATTAAGTCCACCTTTGTACAATATGTGAATTCAGTTTAAAAAAAAAAAAAAAAGAAAAAATTGCGACAATACAGACAGACTCGCGACTGTACAAAAATCATTAAACACCCAACATTAAACTTTTAGAAAAAATGTCTCTTGGCCTTCTTGGATGTCCTGTCTTGGAAGATGGTTTTCAATCTTTTATAGAAGACAAAATTAAAAAAATTGGTGATTTTTCGGATCTTTTACTTAAAATTAATGTCCATTCGGCTTTTACTATACTCCGTTTTTATCTTTCTGTACCAAAATTTCGGTCATCCCCGCTTTGGAAACACCTATCACTTTTAGAAAAAGTTGACTAAATTATTCAAGACACCCTCAGTAAGTGTTGAATGTAGCTTTTAACGATTGAGCCTGGCTCCAAGCATCCTTATCAGTTCATCTTTGTGGTTTTGGAGTACGCAGAATTATAGATGTCAGCCTTCCAGCATTTCTGTCTTCGGTACATGGCACAGAAGAGTTAACCAGGAAAATTCTAATAAGCACACTGGTTGATTCTGAAGTGTCGGATAGCTTGTCTCAATACAATATTGCTTGTTAATCCATTCTCTCAGAGACAATGGGACGCGCTACTATGTATTTTAAAACAAAAACACTGATTAGCTGTGGGAGAATGGGAATCAAGCATATGGATTCAGGCACTTCCATCGCCTAACATAACCTTATTGGACGATATCAGATTTCGCCTTGCCACTTATCTTCGGTTAGGTGCGCCTTGTGTTTCTCCACATCTTTGTCACTGCAGAGAAGCTGTTGGCAGTCTTGGACATCATGGCCTTTCTTGGAGCAGAAGCGCTGTCTGTATATCGACATCGACATGCCAATATTAACGATATTATCCTGCGGGATCTTGTTACTGCCGGCGTTCCAGGTGTACGTGAACCCAATGGTCTGGTGCGAGAAGATGGGAAGAGACCGGACGGTATGTCGTTACTGCCATGGAAGATGGATAAGCCTTTCGTGTGGAACGCAACCTGCGTCGACACCCTTGCGTAATCACGTTTGCCAAGCACTGCTGGTTACGCCGGCGCTGCTGCATCTGCAGAAACCCTCAAACCGCGTAAATATCAGTATCATAAATTACATTTTTGAACCGTTTGGGGTCGAAACGCTAGGGTCATGGGGCCCAAGTGCTCGTACTATGTATAAACAGCTAGCTAAACAACTGATTGACACTTCTCGTGATCAAAAGGCTGGCCTTTTTCTAGCACAGAGAATAAGCATTGCCATCTAACGTGGCAATGCTGCCAGTCTTCTGAGAATGCTACCAGTAGGCGATGATGCGGAGGAATTTATTGATGCTTGTATGTAAATAGTATAAATGTTGTAAATCGACTAAATTGAAAATAAATTAAAAAAAAAAAAAACAAAAAAGAAAACTGATTTGACAACATTTTATTGATGGATCAAGAAAATCATAAACGAACATAGAGATATAAGCATAGAGAGAACACGGGGTACAGCTGGGTGTAAGTGGAAGCGATACAGGACCTAGAGAGATGGATGCCCGATATTTCCCTCTGTCTCTGATTAGTTAAGCTGCGATTGGCTACCTATTAACCCCTTATATTACCCAGCCAACAACTTAGCTCGGCTAGAAAGAGATAGAGGGGTCTATCTAATATTCATCTCTCTCGTTGCCTATATTGCCTTAAAAATCTACATCCATCCACAGATAAAGAGGATATAAGGATAGCTATCGAAGAGCTTGACCACAAAGTAATAAATGTCTGGAACATTCAAAATTCAAGAACAAAACAGGCATTACCAATGTGGAACATTGAACTCGAACCTCGTGAAAATAATAAAGACATATATAGCGTGAAATCTCTGATGCACTGTCGCATATCGTTTGAAGCACCCAGACCAAAGCGAGCAATCCCCCAATGCACTAATTGCCAAGATTATAATCACACACAAAAGTTCTGCAATAGAAAATCCAGATGCGTCAACTGTGCAGGTCCGCATCACACTTCAGCTTGCCCACGGAAAGAAAGATCAAACCAGGTTAAATGTGTCCTATGCGAGGGAAACCACCCAGCTAACTACAAAGGCTGTACAGTCTACAAAGAATTGCTGAAAGTCCGATACCCTCCACAAATCACTAAACACAGACGAAAACCTGAATACACGAGAAATGAACAAGTACCTACGAATAAAACAATAAATAGCGGCAAATCCTATGCTTTAGCTACAAAAGAACCCACCGAACAACCTATGACGCAAACAATTAACGCGGAGGACGAAAACCAAAAAACCAACGAACTCAAAGCAATTAGGGAAACACTTGTTGCCTTGATGAACCAAATGTTAAATATGACCCAAACGTTGACCGTACTGATTTCAAAAATGTCATCACATTCACAGTGCTAAAATTGGTTGTATGGAATGCTAATGGCTTGTCAAAACACTCGGAAGAGTTAAAAATATTTGTTAAAATCCACCACATAGATGTTTTACTAATCTCAGAAACCCACTTCACATCCAAAAGCTATTTCAGGATACCGGGCTACAATATGTACCACACTAATCACCCAGATAACAAAGCACATGGAGGATCGGCCGTGCTCATCAGGTCAAACATCAAGCACCATGTACTACAAGGCTACTGTAAAAACTACATCCAAGCAACAAACGTCGTAATAACAGACTGGATGAGTGACATCACAATTTCAGCTCTTTACTGTCCGCCGAGATTTGCTATCAAGGAAAAGGAGTTCAATGACTATTTTCAATCGCTTGGAAATAGATTTATTGCAGGAGGCGACTATAATGCCAAACATACGTTTTGGGGTTCTAGGCTTGTCCTACCCAGAGGGCGAGAACTCCTCAAATGCATCCAAGCAAAAAATATGAACGTGATATCGTCTGGTCAACCAACGTATTGGCCAACAGACCAAAGAAAAATGCCGGATGTTATTGACTTCTGTGTCGGCAGAGGAATAGCAAAAAACAATATTACATGTCGGAGTTGCTGGGATTTATCCTCAGATCACTCTCCAATCATAGTAGATCTACACACTACCACCCAAGAATGCGTCAAAAAATGTGTTCTGCACAACAAAAGAACTAATTGGTCCCTGTTTCGAGAGCTCACAGATGAAGCGTTCCAGGAACCAGTTAGTCTAAAATCAAATAACGAAATAACAGAAGCGGTTATATACTTTACTAACAGTGTGCAGGATGCAGCTTGGTCTTCAACCCCACCACCATTACATAGAAGCATGGACAACTATGTAGCGAAGTATATATTAGATAAAGTAACCCAAAAAAGGAAAATACGGAAACACTGGCAACAAACTAGAGACCCGGCTGCGAAAAAACAACTCAATCACGTCAGCAGACAGCTGAAGCACATTCTAGACAAAGATCGTAATGAAGGATTTCAAAATTATCTCACTGGCCTGGATGCTAGTGCTTCCTCAGATTATTCTTTATGGAAAGCCACTAGACGACTAAAACGGCCCGTTAGAGTTTCTCCTCTTGTAAGAAAATTCGATGGTACCTGGGCACGGACAGACCAAGAAAAAGCCGGCACTTTCGCGGAATATCTCTCAAACGTCTTTATTCCCCATCCATATGAAGGCTCTGCCGAAGATGCAGCAGAAATTATTCACCATCTAAATACTCCCAAAAATACAGAGGACATGCCTTTTAAATTTACAAAGACAGAAGTTGCCCGAATCATAAAAAAATCGGACCCAAAAAAGTCACCAGGATACGACCTTATAACAAATCGTCTATTGCAAGAACTGCCCGAATCCGGAATAACTTTTCTTACGTCACTGTTTAACGCCATGAATAGACTGCAGTTCTTTCCTCTGGAGTGGAAGGTCGCACAGATTGTAATGCTACTGAAACCAGATAAAAAACCTGAAGAAGCAAAATCATATAGACCCATAAGCCTGCTACCTATTCCATCCAAGATATACGAGTCTTTACTGCTTCAACGAATACTACCTATAATCAAGGATAAAGAACTAATTCCCGACCATCACTTTGGGTTTCGCAGTAAACATGCCACTGTCGACCAAGTGCACAGACTAACCAAAAAGATAATGGAATCACTGGAGGAAAAATCTTACTGTGCAACTGCATTCCTGGACATATCTCAAGCATTTGACCGTGTCTGGCACGAGGGATTGCTTTTTAAATTAAAAAACGCTCTACCAGATCACATGTATGGAATACTAAAATCATTTCTACAGCAGCGTCACTTCATAGTGCAGAATGGGGAAGCGGTGTCTGACCTTTATCCCATAAAAGCGGGAGTTCCACAGGGTAGCGTACTGGGACCCATACTCTACTTACTGTTCACTGCAGATTTGCCCACATCTGAATCCTTAACCTCTGGAACCTTTGCTGACGATACCGCCATACTAGCTGCACATAGTGACCCAAAAATAGCCTCACAAATACTCCAAAAAGGACTAAACGACATAGCTGACTGGCTCAAAAAGTGGCGGATAAAAGCAAACGAAACAAAATCAGTCAATGTAACGTTTACTTTAAGAAGAGGATCTTGTCCTCTAGTCACATTAAACAACATTGAAGTTCCACAGACAGATCATGTGAGATATCTTGGATTGCATTTGGACAAAAGACTTACCTGGCAAAAGCATATTTTCGCAAAGAGAAAGCAACTTGGGATTCAAACACGAAAACTTTACTGGCTCATTGGACGGACGTCTCAACTATCCCTTGAGAACAAAATACTTTTGTACAAGGCAATACTAAAGCCAATCTGGACGTATGGGATCCAATTGTGGGGCACCGCATCCCACTCAAACATAGAAATCATGCAAAGGTTTCAAAATAAAGCACTGCGCATGATAACAAACGCTCCCTGGTTCGTACCCAACGAACTATTACACCGTGACCTACGAATGCCTACCGTGAAACAGGAGATTGTACGCAATACTTACCTATAAAGCGTATAGCATCGACCAACATACTGCTGAATGTCCCATGAAGGAGACAGATTGTAGTAAAAACAAGAGGACACAAAAAAAAAAAAAAAAAAAAAAAAAAAAAAAAAAAAAAAAAAAAAAAAAAAATTAACGTGGCAATGCTGCCAGTCTTCTGAGAATGCTACCAGTAGGCGATGATGCGGAGGAATTTATTGATGCTTGTATGTAAATAGTATAAATGTTGTAAATCGACTAAATTGAAAATAAATTAAAAAAAAAAAAACAAAAAAGAAAACTGATTTGACAACATTTTATTGATGGATCAAGAAAATCATAAACGAACATAGAGATATAAGCATAGAGAGAACACGGGGTACAGCTGGGTGTAAGTGGAAGCGATACAGGACCTAGAGAGATGGATGCCCGATATTTCCCTCTGTCTCTGATTAGTTAAGCTGCGATTGGCTACCTATTAACCCCTTATATTACCCAGCCAACAACTTAGCTCGGCTAGAAAGAGATAGAGGGGTCTATCTAATATTCATCTCTCTCGTTGCCTATATTGCAAGATTGGGGCTTGTTCACTCTATGCTTACACCTATAAGTAAAGGAACGATTTCCACCTAGATTACTTTGTTGGCAGCAATGATAACTCATTTGTGACAGCCAGGTGTCATCGGTATTCCGGGGTGGTGGCGAGCGCGTTGCGAAGCACGCTCGCTTCCAGGGAGCACAGGGAACATGGGGTTCCCCCACGGGGGTAGGGGGGGGGTCGTCTACTCGTCTGTAGATGACCCGAGGTATGTCGGGGCACCAGGGACTTCCTTTCTAGGGTATACCAGGTTCCCCGGCTATTAGTACCCGAGACGGCGTGCGGTTTAAGTCGGTTCGAGTCCGACATGCCACCGACAGGTGGTATCCGAGGGGATTTCCGCACAAAAAAAAAAAAGTGTCATCGGTATCAACTTCAGTACAGCTTAAATGCAAACTACACATTGAAATAACTTGAACTCAAAGTTCTATTAATTAAATTAATGTTTTTGTTGATGAGATACGCAATGCAGTACAAAAGTCCCATACATACAT